ATGCTATATTTTAAAAGTTGTGAGATAGTATACTTTAAGTGTTCTCAAAACAAAAATGATGAATATGTGTGATATAACATGTTAATTGGTTTAATTTAGCCATGCCATTGTGAACATACTGTATTCTGTATCATAAGTGTGCATGACTTTATTTATGAGCTAAATAAATGAAAAAAAAGAACGAAAAATAAAAAAATAAAAGTTTCAAACAAAAAAAGACAAGAAAGGGGAGAGACTAGAAGCCCTACACAGTACAGACAGGATAATGAACAATTCTATTTAAAAACAATACTATAGCTTCTCAAATGTTAAGCATGAACTTACTACAGGATTCAACAGTTTGCATTCCTAGAAATGAGAGCATGTCCACAGACCTGCATACAGGTGTTTATACAAGTAGTTTACAGTTGCAAAGAAGGGGGCAGGAATTCTGTCATTAACTGGTAAAAGACAAGCAATGGGAGGAAATGGTATGTTCATGATAGAATACTTTTCAATCCCAAGAAGCAATTAAATGGTCCGGTGAGACGGCTCAGCAGGTGCTTACTGCCGAACTTGATGGCCTGAGTTTGATACCCAGGCACCACATGGTGGGAGAAGAGAACTAATTCCTGTAAGTTCTCTGACCTCCATGTGAGGGCTATCCACCCTGATGCCTACAAAGTAAGATTTTGTTGTTGTTATTGTTGTTGTTTTTCAAGACAGGGTTTCTCTGTGTAGCCCTGGCTGTCCTCGAACTCACTTTGTAGACAAGGCTGACCTCAAATGCACAGAGATTTCCCTGCCTCTGCCTCCTGAGTGCTGGGATTAAAGTCGTGTGCCACCACTTCCTGGCCCCAAATAAGAATTTTAAATATTTATTTACCGTGTGAGTATGCCTGCATGTATGTCTGTGCACCATTTATGTGCGTGGTGCCCTTGGATGCCAGAAGAGGGCATTGGATCCCCTGGAATTGCAACTACAGACAGTTATGAACTGCTAGGTGGGAGCTGGAACTTGAACCCAGGTCCTCTGGAAAAGCAGTCAGTGCTTTTAACCACTGAGTTATATTCCCGACCCCAATACCAACCCCCCAAGGAGATCAACTAGCATTTATTGAGCATCAACTGTATGCCAGGCTAATCCTTTACTGGTGCTACCTGTTTACAAATGAGATTCTGGTCTTTTGTTCTTGTTTTTGGTTTTTCAATCAGGGTTTCTCTGTAGCTTTGGAGGCTATACTGGAACTAGCTCTTGTAGACCAGGCTGGTCTCGAACTCACAGGGATCCATCTGCCTCAGCCTCTGCCTCCCGAGTACTGGGATTAAAGGCATGCACCACCACCATCCGCAGTTTATGTGTTTTGAAGTCCTGTGAGCTCTTGGGCAGGAAGGTGCCATGTCTGGTAGGGGCTGCGGCTGGCGGAAGTGAGTCCTGGCAAGTATGACCAAGTAGTAGGCAGCTCCGGAGAGGTTTAGTGGCTTGCCAAGGAACACGGTCTTCCAGTTCTGAGGCTGGCACGTGCAGGACAACATGTGCACACACACCAAGTACCTCACCTGCGCACCGGGCCTGACTCCCAGGCAGCCTTCGGGGATAGCTGGTTGCAGCGACAGGCCTTGCGTGGTCAGACACCACCTTCCACCTTGGCCCAGTGGCTCCACCAGGAACTTGACCTCACGCTGGGGGAAGGGTTCAGGTGGAACACACACAGGAGCACTCCAACTACTCCAGGGGCCTCCAGTAGCAACCCCCCCCACACACACCCAGGAGAGCCTGGGCCATGTTCTCTGAAGGACAGAGGCAGGACTCAGAAACGTTACCATGAATGTCCTCAATCACACCTAAGCCAGAGATATCCTGGGGTCCACAGTCACCCAATGTCCAATTTGCTGTGGGCAGCCGGCGCCTGAACTGCACCTCAGCTGGAACCTCATCGGTAATGTTCCACTAACGTTCCAATCCAGGCGTAACTGCCCGTCTGTACAAGACGCCTTGATGTCTCCCAGGGGAGGGCTGAACCTGACTGAGGTTCCATCTGGGTACAGTGGTGGCTTCTCAAAGTTGCAGCTGTCAGCTCTGTAGGAGATACCCAGCTGGCAAAGCAGGAGGATGGTGAAGATGGGCTGGCCGGTCTCCCTCAGCCCTATTAGGTCCATGAAGAGTTGGGAAGCCCCAGGAACTTCTGAACCGTTGAAGGGGCCCAGCCACCCTGTCTTTACCTCAGAACAAGCTGACACTGAGAAAGGAAAGCCCCAATAATTTTTTTTTTTTAATCAATGAAATACCCTGGTGAGTTAGTGCAGACATGTAATCCTTGGGAGGTTGAGGCAGAAAGCTACACAGAAAGTCCCTGTCTCAGGAGAGGGAGTGAGTATGAAATATGGATGTGTGTTACCCTTAAATGGACCCCAAAGACCACCATGCAGCTGAGTGAGCAGCTGAAGGTCGCATTCCATACAGCAGAGAACATTTGTAGGGTGCTCCAGGGAAGGTGAACAGAGGGAACAAGCACATTCGTGACTACTCAGGGGCTGCAGGAATAAACTGTAAGCAGGGAGCATTTTGGCTTGATGGGTGTGCTCAATGTTGATGGTCATTGGAGTTGCATGACTGCAGATTTAGTGAAGGATACGGGATCGTACACTTAGGAGGGATGGCTCTCACGTAGGTTACCAGTCAGTGAAGGTGTATAGTAAAGGGAGGAAAGCAGGTGTTCAGAGGAGACAGATGCATTGCCCTCTCTCCACACAGGGTGTTCGTATTTGTGCTGGTGCTCGTCTCCATCCTCTGGATCCCCGTGGTGCAGGCCAGCCAGGGAGGCCAACTTTTCATCTACATCCAGTCCATCAGCTCTTACCTGCAGCCACCCGTGGCTATAGTCTTCATTATGGGATGTTTCTGGAAGCGTACCAATGAAAAGGTAAATCTGGGGGCTGGAGAGATGGCTCAGCCGATGAGAACAGTGACTGTTCTTCCAGGGGACCTGGGTTCAATTTTCAGTACCCATGTGGCAGCTTAACTGTCTGTAACTCCAGTTAAAGGAGATCTAATACCTTCACACCAATGTACATAAAATAAAGTTAAATAAATTTTTAAAAATAAGAAAAGACAAATCTGGACAAATTATGGCAACATAATACCCAGGTACTGCCCATGAGCACTGGGAGAATTGGTGGGGAATGGTCTGGCAGGGGCCTGACTATGTGGGCTAGACTTGGGTGTTACCAGGGCAAGTGATTTCTGTGTGGGAAGAAACAGGAAGGGGCCATTAGGCCTTTGAAAAAATGAGATGGTGTTCTCAGATGTGTCTTCATGTGTTTCCATTTTCTTTCGTTCTTTTCTTTTTTCTCTTTCTTTCTTTCTTTCTTTTTTTTTTTTTTTTTTGAGTCAGGGCCTTAGTATATAGCACATTTCTATTTCTGTATTAAAACATCCTGACAAAAAGCAACTTAGAGGAGAAAGAGTCTACATGTGCTCACAGTTCCAGGTCATGGTCCATTACTACAGTACAGTCAAGGTAGCAAGGACCTGAAGCAGGTAGTCACATCACATCCAGGCAAGAGTAGGGAGTTTCTGAGGATTTGTACTGCTGTCAAGAGACACCATGACCACAGCAACTCTTATAAAGGAAAGCATTTCATTGGGGCTGGCTTACAGTTTTAGAGGCTTAGTCCACAGTCATCATAGTGGGAAGCATGTCTGCACATAGACAGACATGGTGCTGGAGAGATAGCTAAGAGTTCTACATCAAGATCTGAAGGCAGCCAGGCGGTGGTGGTGCATGCCTTTAATCCCAGAACTTGAGAGATAGAGGCAGAGGCAGGCAGATTAATGTGAGTTCAAGGCCAGCCTGGTCTACAGAGCAAGTGCCGAGAAAGACTCCAAAGCTACATAGAGAAACCCTGTCTCAAAAAACAAATCTGAAGGCAGCAGGAAGAGACTGAGACATTGGACCTGGCTTGAGCATTTGAGACTCAAAGCCCACCCGCAGTGACACACTTCCTCCAATGCCACACTTATTCCAACAAGACCATACCTCCCAATAGTGCCAGTCCCCATGAGCCTATGGGGCCATTTTCATTCAAACCACCACAGGGAGGGTGATGCACACAGGCTGAGTGTTCAGGTAGCCCCCTGCTCTAATACAGCCCAGGGCCCTGGACCAGAGAATGGTGCTGCACTTTTAGACTGAGTTTTCCTACATCAAAGACAATCCTTCGACAGGCCCACAGAGAAACCTGGTCAAGACATTCCCTCACTGAGCCTCCCTCAGGTGATTCTAAGTTCCATCAAGTTGACAAAGCTAACCACACTCAGGCTGGCCTCCAGCTCACAATCTTCCTGCCTAGATATGGGTGTCACAAGTTTTAACCACCATACTTGGCTTCATGACACACTCTTGCCATTAACAGAGAAGCCAAATTAGAAGGGAATGAGTGTATCAGATGTAATCAACTCATTATAGTTGGACATCCGAATCTGTGAGCTCAGCCGGACTCACCCAATAGCAGAATGAAAATATTCGGAGGAAAAAAAGCTGTGACCCTACTGAGCACAGCTTTGTTTTTTTTCTGATGTTAACCTCTAAATCAATGGTTTTCAACCTATGGGAGTCGAATGACCCTTTCATGGGGGTTGTCTGAGACCATCAGAATACAAATATTTACATTAAGATTCATCATAATAGCAAAATTACAGTTATGAAGTAGAAATGAAAGTAATTTTATGGTGGGGGTTACCACAACATGAGGAACTGTATTAAAGGGTTGCAGCAGTAGGAAGGTTAAGAAACACTGCTCTAAATCATACAATACACTGACTACTTACATAATACTCACATTGCATTGAGTATTATATGTAATGTATAGGTAATTTAAAGTATGTAAGTGATATGTATAGGCCACATGCAAACACTATGCCATTCTATACAAGGGCCTTGAGCAGCTGTGGACTTTGTTATTATGGGTCCTGGAACTGCTCCTTCAGGATACCAAGGGCTGACTGTATTTGTAGAAGATGAACAGGTACATAGCTCCAAACCTTTGCAATGCAGTGAGGATCATGAGAAAGACAAGTTCTTGAAATGGCTTCTTGAAGTTTTGGTGCCCTTGACATCCCTAAGACGGCTTTGCTCTGGTTTGCAGGGTGCCTTCTCAGGTCTGATCTTGGGCCTGCTGCTAGGATTAGTCAGGCTGGTCCTGGACTTTATCTACGTGCAACCTCGGTGTGACCAGCCCGATGATCGGCCAGCTGTGGTGAAGGATGTCCACTATCTCTACTTCTCCATGATTCTGTCTTCTACCACCCTCATCACTGTGTTCACCGTGAGCTGGTTCACAGAGGCACCCTCCACAGAGATGGTACATTTTGGTTGACAGGCATAGCCTCTGAGAGTCATTAAAAGTGACAGGACAGGGATTCCAGGCTGAAGCAAGATAACTGAAGTCCAGAGTGGGGCCCAGGGGACATGTCTATGCCGTAAGCATTCCCGGTCCTGGTTCTTAGCAGTTTCCATCAGCTCAGGTACAACCTTGTCCTTGAACCAGAAGAAAGGCTGAGTTGAAGGGTCAATCTGTGGCTCACACAGTATCCTAGGGCTAGGACAGTTAGATAGCAGCAAGAGGAGGGCTATCAGAGGACAGAGGAGCAAGATAGAGGTACAGCCATTGGCTCTGAGGAGTGGAGGGAATTGAAGCTGCTTGGAAGAGAAGTCACACTATGAGCAGTGTCTAACCTGAAGGCTGAGGTGGATGCTGTGTAGGGAGAAGGGAGGGAAAACAGCAGCTCCCATCTGTGTCTCATAGTTGCCTCTGTTTCTCAGGTCAGCCGCCTGACTTGGTTTACTCGTCACGATCCAGTGCCACTGGCAAGCCCCCTGCCTTCAACCCTCCCTCAGAATGGGACTACAGAGGCCACCAGCACCAGCATCCAGTTGGAGATAGTTCAAGAAAATAAGAACAAAGCCCATAGCCGTGAGTTGCCTCTGGTCTTGGTTATAGTGGAGCTTACGAAGCATTATTTGTTCAGGGGAGATTACGTCAGATCACAATCTGAAAAAGGGGAAGGCTTGGAATCTCAGCATCCCCTGGCTGTGATGGCCTTCCATGCCTACCAGAGGGAACTCACAGAGACACACAAACAGCAGACCCAGAGCCTACCAAGACTTCATGCAAACATACACCATAGGCTGGAACACCATGACAATCTTCACATCACTTATTTAAGTTTAGCTCACTTTATAAAATGTGAGTTATCATTTTAAAATTTGGAGATTTCACATGAGATTCTAAATTTCCATCTCTTGGACAATGGGGAAAATCTGGGTACACCATGCCTCATGTTGGCATGGCAAAGTTATCTCCATGGTATGAAGATTCAGGTTATATTATGTCAACTTAAGGTAAGAAACTCCACAGGCATTTTTTTCTTTAACTTTTCTTTTTTTCTTCCAGTGCTAGGGATTGAACTGAGGGCCTTGTGTTTGCTCGGTTACTCAGCCTAGAGAGTGGGGAACTCCAGGTCATATGTTTTAAAACCTGGGGAGAGCATATTTCTTTGTAGAGGTGAAGACACCGTCATCATAGTCAATGTGTAAACTGGCTTCCCCACTCAGGTGGATTAGCTGTCTGGATTCCTGTAAACTGCTGGGCATGCAGCCTGAGCTCCACACACAGAAATAGCATTCTACAACAGTGCCCCAGTCCTTCATCCTACTGCAAGACACTGTGATATAGAGAGGGCACAGAGCTGGGACCTAAGCCCCATCTCACTTATCTTCTATGTGGCTTCACTAAAGTTAGTGTGTGAGCCTTGATTCTTTCATCTGAAGACACTGATAATCTTCCAGACTTAAGGTACTAGTGGACGCCGGGCGTTGGTGGCGCAGGCCTTTAATCCCAGCACTTGGGAGGCAAAGGGAGGTGGATCTCTGTGAGTTAGAGGCCAGCCTGGTCTCAAGAGTGAGTGCCAGGATAGGATCCAAAGATACACAGAGAAAACATGACTCAAAAAAACAAAAAAAAAAAAAAAAAAAAAAAAAAGGAGGTACTAGTGGACATACTTGTTCTCAGAGCCTGAGAGAAACTGATCCCAGGACCCACAGGGGTCCTAAATCTCTAGATGTTCTAGTCCCTTGTATAAAATGGCAAAGTAGGGGCTGGGAAGACAGTGGTCAGTAAAGTGCTTGCCTTGGAAGCATGAAGATCTGAATTTGGTCCCCAAAATTCATGGGTTTTTGTTTGTTTGTTTGTTTGTTTGTTTGTTTTGTTTTTAATCACTGAGTCTCATCCACTAGTCAGCCTGACCTACTCGGTGAGTTCTAGTCCAGTGAAAGATTGTCTCAAGGAAAAAAAAAAAGAAAGAAAGACAACTCAAGAGAATGACATGAGGTTGTCCTCTGGCTCACATGCAGTAATCCATGTGCACTCACACACATGTGCACCCACAAATGCCACCATATTCACATAGCCTATGGACATCCTGCATACTCGAACTACCTCTATATACCCCATACAATGTCAGCGCTGCTAAGTAGCTGTTATACGGCATTGTTTAGGGAAGAATGATGAGCAAGTCCGGTCTGAATATTCCTTTGGTTTTTTTTGTTTTGTTTTTTGTTTTGTTTTGTTTTTTTGTTTGCTTGTTCAAGACAGGGTTTCTCTGTGGCTTTGGAGACTGTCCTGGAACTCCCTCTTGTAGACCAGGCTAGTCTCGAACTCACAGAGATCCACCTGCCTCTGCCTCCCGAGTGCTGGGATTAAAGGCGTTCACCACCAACGCCGGGCTCCCCTCTGAATATTCCTGATTCATGTTGGGATAAATCTCCAAATATGGAAGGCTGGCTATGCCTTCCAGAAGAAGAACATCGATTCCATATCCCAGTTCATGAACACATGTTGTCAATCTCTTCCTCCTCTTGTGACCTTCCTTTGCTGGGTTCTTTCCAGATGAAATCTCCCCCAAACAGTCCAAGGTGCTGAAGGCTGTCCTGTGGCTCTGTGGGATGGAGAAGGACAAAGAGGAGCCTCCAAGCAAAGCAGAACCGGAACAGGCAGTTCCCTTGTGACCTTCCTTTGCTGGGTTCTTTCCAGATGAAATCTCCCCCAAACAGTCCAAGGTGCTGAAGGCTGTCCTGTGGCTCTGTGGGATGGAGAAGGACAAAGAGGAGCCTCCAAGCAAAGCAGAACCCATCATAGTGTCCTTGAAGGAAAATCCCTTGGTGAAAACCCTGCTAGACGTCAACTGTATTGTGTGCATCACCTGTAGCATCTTCCTCTGGGGCTACTTTGCTTAACACAGAGTGGCCCCAGGGATCCAAGCACTCTGTGTATTTTCCAGTGCCTTGTTATTTTTTTAACAATAGAAAACAAAATGATAATAAAGCTTGTGTTTGTTTACCATAAAGCTTCAGAGGTGTTGCTGAAGAGCATTTTCTTCTTGACAGCAATGGCTGGCCTTGGAGCTTTTCTCATTGAGACACTTGCTCCTCTTAGAGTTTGAGAAACATACCTGTATGTGGTGCCCTGAAACCTCACACACTAAAACTCAGGGGCTGCGTGGTGGCACATGCCTGTAATCTGGCCATTTCTGAATTAAGATTCCAAGTTTAAGGCCAGCTTGGGCTGTAGACAGACTTTTCTTTCCCACCCTCCAGTTCCCAAATAACTGACATGGAGACTTGATATTAATTACAAATGCTTGGTAGGTAGCTCAGGCTTATTACTAACTAGCTCTTACAATTTAAATTAACCTATTTCTATTAATCTACATTCTGCCACATGGTGTTACTTTTCTTTTAGCTTGCATCTCCTGTTTCCTCTGGCATCTTCTCTAACTTGGCCCTCCTTTTCCCTAGCATTCTCTCTGTCCCCCAAATCCTGCCTAGCCAAGCCAATAAGCCAATTTTTATTAACAATGAGAGCAATATATATTTACAGTCTTCAAGATTGTTCCACAGCATTGGGCTACATAGCAAGATTCTGTCTCGAAAAGCAGCAACAACAAAAAACCTAAGTAGTGGTATACATCTGTAATCCCAGCACCTGGAAGGTGGAAGCAGGGTCAAGGCCAGCCTGCCTGGGCTACATGAAGCCCTGCCTCAAAATATAAAAAGGAAAAAAATGAGGAAATGAGGTAACTGTGTGTACTTCTTAAATTCTAACTTAGTGTCGGAAGAGGCGGCTCAAAGCTAGGAGTCTTTTGCTGTTCTTGCAGAGGACCAGAGTTTGGTTCCCAGGATCTTGCAGTAACTCCAGCTCCAGGGACCCAACACTCTCTTGTATAGATAAATAAAAATACAATTTTTTCTAAGATGTTCTGTCTTTGAAAACTTAGCTTCTTAATTCAACACAAAGAGCCTTTACATCAGACAGTTAGAAGGATCCATTTGCACAAAGCCTCTCGAGTGGTTTGGGCCAGTTCTGTCTGGGACCTTGTTCTGTGTGGAGCCCTTCTCTCACAGCTTCTCTCTTCTGGGCCCTGATGGAATGACTCAGATTGGCATTTGCTGTGTGGAGAGCTAAGAGCAATGCCACCTCTGAGGTATCCCAGAACACAAGCTGTGTAGACCTAATATAAGGGGGTAATGGGTGGAGCTACTTACTGGCCCCACCTCACTCTCCTGATACTCCAATTTCCAGGAATTTCAAAGGACAATAGGAGTCCCTTGGCCACCTTCTCATTCAGTGACCTGAGTTCCTAGGTGATAGCCATGGTGACAGGGACCAGCTGATTCAAGGGGAGTTGTTAGCCAGTGTGTACCTTTCCAACCCCAATCCAAACAACAGCTGTGGCCTGAACAAAAGGCACCCTAAGCCCACCCAGAAGAACAAACGTGGGGAGCTTGTTACATAATTCCTAACCAGACCCATGCAATTGGATCCTGACAAGAGTCCAAGATGACTTGGGAGGCAAAAGGGCTCAAGGATCAACTCCACAGAGCAAAGTTAGTCTTCTTCTCCTGGAGCTAGAGAGAATGGGGGATTACAAGGACTTCACAAGAGTCCTGTACTCATTGCAACCCTGACCCCAGAGACTTCTACTGCCTCTGGTTAGAATCAAAAGTAAGTTTCCTGGGGGGAGGGTGTTGTCACAGCTGTCACTCAAGTCACAGACATCTCTCTCCTGAATTGCTGTCACCAGCATTCTGACAGACCACCCCACCTCTCTTTTGTCCACTCTGCTGCCCCAGGCAGAGGTCAAATCTGTTTGACCAGGACTCCTTCCAATTTCAATTCTTATCACTCTCCCTTGGTTGCCGTAAGTCAAGCCACACCCACATTCTCCCCTCTGTATCTACTGTAGACGATGTAAGGGAGCCTCAGGAGAGTGGTCAAATATTGAGTAAACAGGCTTTTGCCCACATCCTTATCACAGCAGCCTCAACTATTCCTCCTTTCTCTTCTAACTAAATCCTACTCTAGGATTTAGACAAGTACAGACATTGCTTCTTCTAGAAAGCCTTCCTCAGTCAGCACCCTCCCAAGGCATGTGCATTCAAAATGTACCGAAGGCCTGGGAAGATATCTCAGTCAGCAAAGCACTTGTGTGCAAAACGTGAGAACCTGAGATCACACCCCCAGCATCTATAATCCAGTGCTAGAGAGGCAGACAGGAGCATTCATGGGGTTTGATGACCAACCAGTCTAGTCAAATTAGTGAGTTCCAGGTTCGGTGAGAGACCCTACCTCAAAACATAACAAGGAAAAGCAATTGAAGAAGACACCTGATACTGGCTTCTGGATGCACACCTACATACATGAATACATGAGCAGCCATACAACACACACACACACACACCTACATACATGAGCAATCATATAACACACACACACACACACACACACACACACACACACACACACACACACACACCCCAAATGTTTAACTGCTCAAATGCAGTGAATATTGCATGAAGACAGAGGGTGCCACACTGATATCTGGAATAGTGTCTGGTGGGTGAATGGGTGACAACCTCAAGAACACACATGTAACCTGGCTCCATGCCTTCTAGCTACTACCCATCACCTTTTGCCAGCCCGTCTTCTCACTCTTGCCCAGGTCCCTTGTACCATGAAACACACATTATGCCTGCACCAGTTTAGCAACTTGTCAGAGCTCACAGAAGGGACCTTCCAAGTCCATTATAACTGGAGTGTTCTTACAGTCAGCTCTCAAGTCTGGGAAGGGCTCAGAATCAGCCAGACCATGCTACTTGTGCCTCCCAAGAAAAGTGGCCAAGTGTCCACCACCCACCACCCGAGCTGTCCTTAACTTGGGCCAATGTCAGCACCAGTTCTAAAGGTGTCTCCCTGATTCCAGTCTCACCTCTACCTAGGTCGTTTCTTCTACAACATAGGCTTGTAAAGATCTGAAATACAAATTTTCTCTCCCCAGCTCTTGACTTCACTCTCTTTGGGAAAGCTTATAAACCCAGGTATAGGCCCTACCATGTCCAGCTCCTCCTGACCTCATCAGGCTCCTTCCTTGCCTTTTGCTGCCTCCAGCTGCAGCCCCACCATTCTCTACCCCTTCTCCTTAGCATTTTGCTGTTGTTTTTGAGATGGGCTCTCACTATTTGGCTCTGACTCAACTGGAACTTGCTTTGTAGACCAGGCTGGCCTTGGACTCAGAGAGATTCACTTGCTTCTGCCTCTCAAGCCTAGCACTTTTTAAAGATTTATTTTTTATGTATGGATGTTTTGCCTCATGTATGTATTGTACCACCTGTGGAAACCAAGAGGGCCTCAGAACCACCTCCTCAACCACATACTGGAGTTACAGATGGTAGCCAGCTGTCATGTGAGCACTGGGAACCCAACCCTGGTCCTCTGCAAGAGCAGCAAATGCTCTTAATCTAGCCTCTCCTCCTGCTCTGGTTTTACCTCCTGATTCCATCTTCCTCTGGCCTCATCCTGAAAGGGGAAAATTAATAAAAGTCTAAAACCCAGACTCCAAAGCCCCAAAATAAAACTCTGAGTTCCCAAAAGGCAGCTCAGCAGACAAGGTTAAACAAAGGTCCATAGGACTCAAGCCCTTAGACCAGATATCACACCCTAAAATGGTGTCCACATTCCTCTGGTCCAAAGAGGATCAGATAGTTATCAATTGTATAAGTCCCCAGCCCAGGAGACAATTAACAAACTCATTTCCTCTGCAGCATCCTGCTTAATTGTACCTTGCCTGAAGCATACAATCTTTGTCCTGTCCTGTGTAATCACAGAAGTTTTGTAATCTTAGGGCTTCCGGCCCTACAATTTTCCCTTATAAAAGCACCCCACAGTCAAAAGTGGGTACTCCATTTGTTCCTGAATGGATGGGGTCCTTGCTGCAGCTCATATCCTCGAGTTAATAAAGAAACCTTTGTCCTTGCCTTCAGTGAGTCATCTCCTTGTTGGTGGGTTCTTTTGGGGTTCTGAAAACTGGGCACAACAATCCCTCATTGACTCAGTTTGCTGTCACCACCCCCATTGACTCCATCTCCATCACCCACTGTCTTCACTACCTCTCAGCGGTTCCTTCTCTGGTTGATTCTATCTTCCACTAACTCTAGCTCCACCTGCTACTCTAGCCTCATCTCTCCCCAGTTTCATCTCACAGCCAGTCCTTCTTCATGGGCCATCCACTTGAGCTCTTTTTTATTTTTATTTTTTGCTCTCTCAAGTACAATTTGTGCACAAAGAATGGACTTAGATCTGGATAGAAAGGATGGAAACAAGCTTGATGAAGCACTCCCCTTATCAAATACAGCCTCATGTGTCATTTGTGACCTTTAATGTACGGGTGGATGGAATTGGAGTTCAGTGGTTCTTTTCTGCCTATTCCCTTCCTTTGCATGTAAACCACAGGATGTGGAGATAGCTATAGTATGTCACTGTTGTGTCTTATGTGTAACGATTAGATTATACATGACTGTCTTGGGCTGAGGAGACAGCTTAGTTGGTATAGTGTTTGACCTGAGTTTGAGCCCCAGAACCTGAAGAAAAGGCCAGGCATGGGGCGGACACTTACAATCCTAGTTCTAGGGAGGTGAGACAAGTAGATCCCTGGGGCTCCCTGGCCAGCTAGCCTAACCTATTCAGAGAGCTTCAGGTCAATGAGAGACCTTGTCTCCAATACATAAGGTGAACTGCTTCTGAGGAATGTCAGAGTTGTCCTCTGGTCTGCATGCCCACTCACCTGCACGCACACCTGCACACACATAAACACACACACACCTGCATACTCACCTGCACATACACCTGCACACTGCACACACACAAAACATTAAATAATGAAAAAACACTGCTGGGATGGAGAGATAGTCAAGCAGTTAAGAACACCTGTGCTTGTAGAAGGTCCAGTTTTGGTTCCCAGAACCCACACAGTGGCTCACATCTGTAACTATAGTTCCAGAGGATCCAAAACCCAATTCTGACCTCTGTGGGCATCAGGCACACATGAAAAATCATGCCGGCAAAACACAAAATACTCTTTAAATAAACTGAAAAAAAAATGAAGACAGTCTTGTTAGCTGGGTCACTATGAAGACTGCTTGGCTTGCCTGATAAAGCGGCCATAGGAACTGCCACCTCCAAATGATGGCCAGAAAGAAGCCAGGCCCTCAGACTTGCGGCCACAAACACAAAAACCTGCCTGGGGGGTGGGGAAATCTTCCTGGACCTTCAGCACAGCCTCCAGATGAAATCACAGCCCCTCCCTGACACTTCCCTGCAACCTTGTGAGACCCCAAGCAGAGGTTAGGTGTGCCTAACCTCTGACCCTCAGCAGCTATGCAATATGTGGTCATCTGTCAGAGAACCATCACTGACAGGCATGTGAAGGTGAAGGCTGGAGCTACAGGGAGTGGAAGGAAGTACACTTGCCAGATGGCTGCATGGGGTGGATGCTGATTAGAAGCAGTCAGCTTCTTCAGACTAGCAAGTAGGAGGCATTTGATTGGCAGCAATAGAAACAAACTCAGCAAACTTTATGCAAAACAGAAACAAAGAAATAAAGCAATTTATTGTGAGGACATAGTACAATAAAACACAAACAGCCCCAAGGACATGTGGCGACTCTCAGAAACCCCTTCAGTGTTGGTATCTGCCTCCCAGTGCAATTATAGATTGCTTCCCTCACAGGCATGCATGGTTAACTACTGACTGTTACCAACTGATCCTAAGCACTGTGCCAGAGAGACAGTCCTGCCTTCTGGCTAAGAGGCTCATGAATGTCCACAGTTGTGCAAATCCACACTGGCCAGGAGGTACAGTTCTTACTGTTTGGCTGCACCAGGGCCAGTGACTGCCCTGCCACCTCGTTTTTCCTTCTTCCTAGCTCCACCAATGTTACGAAATAAAAGTGGAAGCTGGTGGTCTAGAAGATCTGCTATCGAAGACAGAGTCTGAGAGCCCATGTGGACTCATGGGTAAATGGATAGAGCAGCAGGATCTGGGACAGGGTGGAGGATCTACGGTATGGAAGGAAGGCTGAAAGCAGACCACAGACAAGCAACCAGACACTTTGTCTTAAGACCTTCACATGAGCTCACATTGGGAGGTGGGGCCCCAAGAGGAGGGATCCATTCCCACCCGGGAGCCAGTTCTAGGGAGATCACTAAACACCTCTAACTCTTGAGTGGCTACAAAGTACAACCACGTCTGACATTTGGTGGCCTTCACTGAGCGGGATCAAGAGCAGGTTCCTTCCAGAAGGCCAAGTGGGCACAGGGGAGTGAGAAGAGGAATGGGTTCATGACCATGATGTTATTATGTGTGGCTACAGAGCACTCTCAGCACACAGCCTGAGCTCTTGAGAAACTGTGGAAAAGGGAGAGGAACCGTCTGGAAGGCAGATTCCAGAAGCATCTTTCTGGAGACCACCATTTTTCTAGATGGCCAGAGATGCCACCATGCATCAAGATGAGGCTTCTTCTGGACAGACAGGGGTAAAACACTCTGCCACCTGTAGTATCATGAAGGGGCACAAGCAACTCCCTCTACAGGAGACACCCAAGTCCTTATAATGAAGACAGAAAGAAAACCAGGTGCCATGCTTGGTCCTGCAGCCACAGAGCCTGGCGTGTGACTGCAGCCTGAGTGCTGAGCCACTGGGTGCCTGGCCCTCAGTGAGGATGGATGGTAGCTTTGGTTTGTTTGTTGGTTTTTGACATATGTGGAATCCAATTTTCATTTTTTTTTTCTTCTGAGGACTGGGAAGCCAAGATTTAAGACAGGGTACCACAAGCAAATAATGGGTTTGGTATGTTGTAGAACCACGGACAGCAGACATGAGCCACCGGCAGGAGTGACAGCTGCAGCATTACAGTGTGGTTATTGTTGGTATGCTGCAGGCACTGCCGGTGCAGAGCGCTCAACAGAAGAGGGTGCTACTAAGCATAGCCTGCAGAGAAATTCCCACAGGCATGGTTGGTTCTGTAGCCAAGTGAAAAACAAGAGGACAGGGAGCCTTCAGCAGACATAAACTTAAAGACTTTTTTTTTACAAGACTTATTTTTATCTTATGTGTGTTTTGTCTGTATTTATGTATGTGCACCACATGTGTGCTTGGTATCCATGGAGGTCAGAAGAGGGCATTGGATTCCCTGGAACTGGAGGTACAGATAGATGGTTGTGAACCCTCGTGTGGGTACTGGGAATTGAACCTGTGTCCTCTGCAAAAGGAACAGTGCTCTTAACTGCTGGGCCATCTCTCTAGCCCCCAGACATAAATTTAAAAGGTGAGGAAAATGTTTCTAAGTGTGTATTTTCAGTGTAATTAACAAATGAAGTACTTTGGAGGTGGAGGGAACTTGGAGGGAAGAGAAATATTTGTTCTTGCTTAGGGGTGTGTGTGTGTGTGTGTGTGTGTGTGTGTGATGACACTACATACACATATGGGTATATTTTTTGGTTTAAGTTGTGGGATGGTTGGAGCTCAGACTAGCCTGAACTCAGGATGCTCTGGCTTCAGCCTCCTAAGTGCTGGGATTCCAAGCAGGCAGACATTGTGCCCAGTCACAGTGTCTTCTAAGTCAGAGGTCATCACAGGTATCACAATTAATACGCAGTTCCAGGCATCTGACTTTGGCAGTGCCTGTCCTTCTGTGTTATCAAGAAAGCCACCCTATGTGGGCCATGGGGAGGGGCCACAATAAGAAAAGCTGTCTACACTGTCGGCCCTAGATTCTTCTCTTCCCAGGGTCTTACTCTTAGACAGGGCAGGAGCACACCCAGGTTACTGGAAAAGAGAATTCTCATGGAAGTCAGTCCCTGATGCACACACACAGCCCTGAAACTTATTGGGATTCAGTTTCCCTGAGACCAGTCTGTCTGGACAGACCAGAAAGACACATCAAGACTGTGTGACGACAAAGCAGTCTTAACCATGGAAAAGTTGCTAAGGGACAACCAGGTAGCCAGTGTCACACTTGGCAGTCTTTCCCCCCAATGTGACTGTTGTCTCTATCCTTTCACCTTTTTGAGACTGGGTCTTAGGTAGTACACATTGGCCTACAACTCATTCTGTAGTTGTGCACCTGATCTTGAACACCTGATCTTCTACTCGTATCTCCTGGATGCTGGGATAACAAGGCATGTACCACCATACCTGGTTCCCCACCCTGCCATCCCCAGTCTTGCTATGTAACCCAGGCTGGCCTCAAACTCATAACCCTCCCCTCCCTAGTGTCGAAACTATCATGCTAGTGTCTCTCTATTCTTTTAAATTCCTACAGACACACAGAAGCAACATACACACACAAACACACACATATGTATGCCAGAGTTTGCCTCCAAGAATTAGCAAGTTTTCATATAAACCACAGAATATATTTAATTCAAATTAAACACGAAACTAGAATAACATTCCACCTTTATCAAGTAGCAATTATATTGTTTTGTTTTTTTAAAAAAAGAACAGTATATTTTTCTCCATGTCTGGCAATCTACAAGGCACGACTCACATCCAGTTTGATGAGGCGACAGAGCCAGCAGTCGCCATCAATGCTTGAGGTTCTGGGGGTTGGAGGAGACACAGACTGTATTTAATACAAAATGATTCTGCAGCAAGTCTGAAGGAACAGAAGCTCCCTCTGGTGCAAGACAACCAAAGTCCAAGTAGCAGGAAGTAGGCAACTTGCATAATTAATGTGTTTTATTAAATAGATAGGTGAGTCTCTTAGTCACTCCAAGTTGCTGTCTGTGTTAACAGCATGGGCAAAGACTTCCCACACTTTTCTCAGCAGTAATACTTTTTCCACCGTAGGTGTTTCCTTGTTCTATCATTTTTGGCATGATTTTCATCCTAGATAAAGCAAGCCAACTTCTTCACGACACAGGTCATTCGGCTTTGAGGACTGGCCCTTTCCCTTCTCTGTGGGCCGTGGGAGTCTAGTCCTGCGTGGTCAGACCTTCCTTCTCCCACTGAAAGCTTCTCACTGTGTGGTCTGCAGGGACAGAGGCTTGCCTGACCCAGTTCTGCTCACCAGGATGGAGGGCCAAAGGCTGGCAAGTGACTTTCTTCACAATGCGGTACTTTCTGTGTCATTGTCTATGTCCAGCAGAATGTGGCCAGGCACTTCTTTGCTTGCCAAGTCTGAATGCATTTCAGGAAAGATGTTGCGAAGTGATTCTGAAACCCTAGAATTGGTGTCTGAACAAAAAACATGAGAAAAAATGGTATCAGTGAGGGTAAGGTCCAAGATGCCACCAAGGGCACTGAGAAGAGAGGCTGGAAGGTCAGCCCATGCTCAAATACAGCCCCTTTCTAGAGGGTTCAGTAGCCACGAGAAGTCAAGCCCTTGAGACCCTTGAGTTGGTTGCCTGCTACAGCCCACTGGTAGTCCTGAGAGCCTGGGCAGCCCACAGAGATGCAACCCTTGAAATATGTCTCTTTGAGTAAAGGAAATCCCACTCTCACCCAGACCTTTAATGCACTAACTGCGGGCTCCTGACAACATCTATGTTGCAGGGGAAGAGTGTCCTTGTAAGAACTCACTTCTGTGGCTGCTATAAAACTCATTCCTGGCGATAAAACTGCAACCTCAACCTCTACTGAGTCAAAGCTTGGACTGAGCCATTCTGAGCTGCAGGACTATCCTGTGCACCATAGGATGCTGAGAAGAATCCCTGGCCTTTACACACCAGATGCTGGTGGCATTCAGACTAGTGACCTCCAGAGTGACAACTTGAAATGTCTTCAGGTACCGTTAAGTGTCCCCTATGGGGCACACTCACCCCTGTTGACAACTTAAGTAGACCACCAAATCTCTAAATACTATTTCTTCTAATACTAACACACTGAAATATGTTTAGTCTCCTTATGTTGAATGAGAATTCCTTCAGGACGATGACCAATATCCAGTCCTTAAGCCACTGCCCCTCTCCTTCCATGCTCACAAGGCCCTTTCATTCACCACAGCTCTTTTCCAGACAACCACATGCCAGGTCTGGCTCTGCCTGCTGAGGATATAATAATGAATGAGACAGACATGGCCTTGATGAAACCCATATATAGGTAAGCCAGGAGACTGGTTTCTGCCCCTTCCCTGAAAGCCCCTCCTAGCCTCTGTCCCTATAGTTTTGAGCTATGGTCTACTTTCTCCTGGGGGTATATCCCTTTTCTCTCAATGACTCCTGGATCAAGAGACTTGTGCTCGTACCATAACAGGGGGGGGGGGTCTTCCTAGATTATGGAGGTGGCAAGGAGTTAAAAGGTCCAGGTACTCAGTGCCATTTCAGACAGTTCAGGTTTTATAGTAACTAGAAAAGCAACTGAATAGGTCTGAATCTCACTGTTCAGAGATACATCAAAAGCAGTCTGTGTACAAAGAATTATGGATGTCACAGACTTGTGGCTCACTCAGAGCAAGGGCATGCCTGTCTTGTTCAGTACTTTACAGTCATGACTGGCACAAAACAGACACTATAAACCTTGTAGCTGGGTAGTTGATGGGCAGATAAACAGTGGGCTAGTGCAAACTTCTTTCTAAACTTCCCTTTCACAGCCTTAGGCAGAGAGGTAGGTAGCCATGACTCAAAGGCAGCAGCAAACAAGAAAATCATCAAATTCAATCTCTCCCCCCATTATCCTTCCATAGATGGCACTGCCAGTCCAGAGTTCACAAAGCCTAAGGGACAGACAAGCTGGTGGAGCATGCAGAATGCAAAGCCATACTAACCAGATTTTTGCTTGTCAGTATCTCTACTCATGTGCCAGCTATTAACCCTTTCTAGAGGACAAACTGACTCTTCTTTTTCTCATCCATCAGATAGAGGGAGGTGCCCAGGGGCACCACTTTATCAAAGTAACAAGCCAGCATGAATCAGACATGAAGCAAAAGCAGCATATCTGGGCTCTCTGGACATTACATTTCTCTACTTCCCCAAGGACTGTGTGACTCCTCCAAGAGGGTCCTGAAGGAGAGAACATTATCTGAGGAGATAATGGTTGAAGTCTTGAACACCCAGTTCATTGCAGCAAAGAAAAGGGTCACTTTAGAAGACACCCACAGCCTTCTCTCCCCCTCTTTTACTGCTTCTACAAATCTCTAGGTATGAATATATGTATGTATGTATGTATGTATGTATGTATGTATGTATGTATTCATTCCAAGAAGGGTTGGTCTACAAGTTTGTTGCTTGGAGCTAAGTTCATATTACAGATAATTTAAAAAATAACTGTAAGAAATCCAGAAGAGAGAGAGCATTAAGTAACAGGCCTTGGTCCCAAGGCTCAGAGAAGACAGCATAATGGACTTGGGGCCCTGAAAAATGGAACCTTTTCTTTGTTGAATGGGTATCTTTATTTGGGAGACAGGCCATTCAAGGGGCAGGACTGGCACTCTACAGTTTATAGTATGGATCTTGAAGAATTCTCATTCCAATAATTTTGATTTGTGCTGTAGGGCATAACTCTTCAAAACTGCTATTTTGATAACGACTCATACAAGTATCACCCCGGAAAAGCAATACAACAAAGTGAAGCCTCAAACACCAATGCCACTGCCCAGTCTCTCTTTGTTCTCAGATCTGACAGCCCGGAGCCATCTATCCCTTAGCAAGCTCTGGTCTGTGAACAAGAGTTAGCTTCTTGTTACTCCAGCCCAGTGATTCTCAGCCTTCCTAATGCTGCCACCCTTCAATACCATTCCCATGTTGTAATGACCTCCATGCATAAAATTACTTAGTTGATACTCCATAATTGCAATTTTGCTACTGTCATGGGCTGCATTGTAAAGCTCTGTTTTCTGATGGTTGTTTGGGGGTCACGACTCACAAGTTGAGAACCACTGTTCTAGTCAAAGGGGAGATTATACTGAATCTCACTGAATATCTGACTTCCTGTGAATATGCCATCTACATCTTAAACTGCAACTAGAAGTAGAAGCCCAGCAAATGTTCAGCTACAAGTAAAGACAACATACGTAGTTGAGTACTATGTTACTATGTGGGCAATGGCATGGGATGTAAAGGAAAACCATATTGCTGGAACGAAATCCATATAGGGCAAATGAGATCATAGACCACACACTGCCTTCAGAAGACAAAATGAGACATCCTTTAAAGGCAGGCTATATGCAGAATTTCACAACTGTAATAAATAGAGATCCGAAAACCTCCCAACCTCTGTCTCTCTGGGTCCTAGAAGGCCTAGTCTGGCATGTGACATGACGATAGATAACTATCATTTGCTCACTCACTGCCTATTATGGGCTGGCTTTTAGAGTCTTTCTTATTCCACCGACTTTAATCCCTTTACCACTTGTGCACATTGTTGGCATTTGACACATCAAGCAGGTTGTGCCTTTCCAAGAATGTCTCCAACTCTACAGCACATGCTCTGTCTACTACATCTCAAGCCTGTTGGACAGAGGAAAGAACGCAAGTGAAGGATTAATGAGGCCAGCCCCGTGACTACCTGTTACAAGTCTATGAACACATTTAGTACTTAGAACAATGGACAGCAAGCATGGATAAGGCCAGCCCTCCTTAGTTCATGCACTATTAGTAGGGATGCAGGCAGGCAGGGTTAGGGTGACTGGTTAGTGACAGCCATTAGTGCACAAATATGATCATAAAGTAGCAAAAATGCTTTGGCCAATCAGTTGCCTTTTCCTTACCATTAAACATTCCAATTTCAGTTCTTACTGAATATGGCAGGTCATACATCTAAATTATTTAATAAAATGTTTAAATTAGAATACTCTTTGCTAAAATCCTCCTGCTTTGCAGAATTACAATGAGAGTTTGACATCTGGAATGACTCAGAATCCTTTCCTTCTCCAGAGCTCTGATACCGAACTTTGGAGAGGGGAGTGGACTACCAAGTCAGCTTGGCAGCATGTTCTGCCCACAAGCATTCACCTTAATCCCTTCAGCCTTACTCCAGCTCTTTACAATTAAATAACCCAAATGGGTGAGATATTTTCAGGAATCTTCCCAAAGTTCTCTAAGCTAAAGCATGTCAAAATAAAGACTGTGCTGCTCTTCCTTTTCCTTGAAAACCACAGGCTATATTCAGGAAGAGTCATTAAGCGCATGATCAATGCTAGGGGCTTCCTAAATTCCAAATGCTGGCCTTCTGCACATTTCCAAGGGTAGGAAATAACAGGGACCTTGTAAGTCTTGTGCTAAGAAAATTTATAGTGAAGTTTAAAAAATAGGTAACACCTTAGATCATTTTTAAAGGTAAAATTTCACCTATATTACTATAAAGTATAGTAAATAATAAATCAATTAAAACAATCTTTTGGCATAAACCACCACAGGTGACCATGGTATTACAGAACAGACATATCTGCAAAACATACGTGGTTTGCAGTTTCCTTTCTAGTCCAGATAAAAGGATAGGATTGAGTAGAATTTTGGTGTCATAAGTGTTGCAGTGTTAAAAGGCTCAGCCTTAACTAAAGTTGTCATTCAACTGCTAGAAAGCAGATGGATACATATGCCCTCCTCCATCATTTCAACGTGAACTAAGCTGTGAACACTCACAGTACATAGCCTACAAAAGGCTCGGATTAAAGCAACTGTACCATGGGGGGCCTTCTGCTGGCCTAATATGTGCCCAAAGGTATGTTCAGATGAACCTCATTGTTTTAAATGCCCATATAGCTTAGGAAAGCAAAATGTAAGCACGCTGGAATGCAACGGGGCTTAAAGGTAGTTCAGGGAAGGATTATTTGGGGATGTTTGGAGGGGGCTGAGAATTTTAGATATCAATTAAGAAGCTCCATGCAGTTACCTTGCATTTAAGATACAAAATTAAAAATTAAAGCACGAAACACAGGGATGCACAATTTTCTGTGCTGATGGTATTCTGGTCCTCTTTGTTGGATGCCAGTGACAGATGAAATGGTACTAAGAAGAGCAGAACACTGGGAGAGGCTTACCCAAACAAAAAATGAAACAACATAGCATCTACCGAGGGCTTCAAACTGAGATCTCAGCCTAGGGACAGCCAACTCTTAGACCTGGGGCAAACCCAAAGCTCAAGGTGCTTTTGATGGGACAAAAGGCATAATGACACGCTACAGAATGGATGGCTGACTGATGGCCATGGCATGGGGTCAAATGGCCACCCCGAGCACAAAGTCAAAAAGCACATACACAGAACATGGCTAAGCGGGAGCGTTTGCAGCTGCAGTTGAAGCTGCTGAGGGTTACAGACCTTAGTTCTGGAAACCTTCCCCACCTGTGAGGGCACTGGGAAGGGCATCTAGTGGGAAACAAACAGCAAACAAACCAATGTGGCTTTGTGCTAATCAAATAAACATCCTGCTGTCATAGGAACAGTTATTAACAACTGATGACATATGTTAAACTATGTATTATACTCCTGGAAAAAGATCTTTCTGTAGTTAGTTAACTATTATTTTGGGTACAGTGTTAGGTCATCTTCTGTCAAGAAGACACTTGCGAGGACTGAGGTACAGTTCACAGTGGCTTCTCCTAGTATGCTTCCATATGGGACAACCCACAGCTAGGCTGCTGTAATTAAAGAAATGATGCACAGCCCAAATGACCTTTAAAAACACTAAAAAACCCATTCCCTTTAAAACTAAATAGCAAAGTCCAGTACCCAGAGTAGAAATATTCTTGATATAATTAAATAAAATGATCATGTTTTATAGAATATCTATAAAAACATCCTACGTGGTAGTACTACAATCTACAATCAACCCCATGCCTAGGGCAGATCCAAGGGAGTGGAAAAATCTCCACTCACCCCTGCCAAGTCATTTGGGGCTAGCACAGTGATGTGATCTGCTTCGGAGATCTGCCTTCCCGGAGCATCCGATTTAGCATATATATGACACTTTATACTATACCCGTTTCTGAAATTCTGCACTTAGCATGTGCATCTTTAACTTTTAGAATAGTAAGTCCAGGAGGGCCTGGAACTTGCTTTGTAGATGAGGCTCCCAATCCTCCTGTCTCCCAAGTATGGGCCACTAAGAAGGAATTCATTGTGCTCATGTCCTACAATACCTTCTACCTTGACTTAAAACGCACTAGACTTTCCAGTATGTGAAAGCAGATAATCTTACACCCAGAAGTAAACTGTAGGCTTTATGATCTGTGCCTCAGGTATTCATCTCTGCTGTCTTGGCATAAAAGTAGCTGCAAACAGCTTGAAGGAGCAGGTATGACTGCATTCCCAGCATGTATGACCTGCACCTGGCTTAGGGATGACTCCCCTCAAGGGAAGGCTGAAGGAACACTGGACCCTTACTACTCACCAGTGACGATTCTGGAGGCTGTGGGCGCTGCCGGTGCAAGGCTGTTATCCCCTGCGTGGGCGCCAGGCGGATGCGGGGGTGGCGGCACGCTAGGTCGGTTGCGGGGCTTGGGCACCGGCCGCGGCCTTGGGAGGGTTCCATGCTGCTGTGTGTTCTCGCTTTGCGAGGGATTCTGCTTGGCCAAGGGTGGGGTGCTGGGTGGTGTGGGTGTTTGAGGTGGCGTGGGGGCAGGCTCTGGCCCCTGCTCACCCAGCCGGGGCTGTGTGGGGGGCTGCGGTGGCGGGTGGCTGGGCGCCTGGATGGGGGGCAGGCTGCTGGAGCTGCGGCGCGTGCCCGGGGCCTGTTGCGGGGGTGGCGAAGGGCTGCGTGTGTTTGGCTTTGGGGATGTGCCTGTGCCCGTGCCTGGAGAGCTCTGACCCCCTGGGTGGCCAGGAGGTAGGTTTCCTGGTTTTGGGGGTGCCGGGGCAGGTTTCTTCACAGCTGCACAGAAGAGTGAAAACAGGATCAGTAAGGCAGGGTGCAGCTCAGCAGGACCTCATGCCTCCAGCCTCATGATAAGCCCTAGATTCACATTCACCCCCAAGAACACCTGACAAACAGCTAAGGAACCAAGAAGCCAAGAGAACTCTTGTGCCAAGAAGTCTCTTGGGTGGGAACTGTAATAGAAGATGGCCACTATGAACAAATAGAAAACCTGAACCCAGCATGTAATTAATGACCACTGTCATTGGTTTCTCAATTGTTACAAATGCAAAGTGATACCAGACAGTAATAATGGGGGTAACAGGGCCAAGTGTAAGTGGAAACAAAACTTCTCTGTAAACTTAAACTAGTCCAACATAAGGAATTTATATAAATAGTCAAATGCATGATATACATATAGACCTTTAGTGACCTGTCATTTTACAAGTTCAAAGGAAGAAAACTGAAAGCTTAGCTTAACAGAGGCCACACACTCATATAAAACACCAAACGTGGGCCCCTTAGTTGCCCTTTCTCCAGAATCCCCTTGTGATTTCAGTGTGGGAACAAACCCGGGAGAACAGAACAGAGAGGTGGCCCACCCCACACAGAACTCTGCCCAAGGATCTTCTACAGGGGCCAATGGAGGTGTGGGGAGGGTGGCCACTGAGGACTGAACCCAGGGCCTCCATGCCAGGACATCATTCTACCACTGGGCTACAGCCTCAGTCCCTGACTGTAGTTTTTACTCATGGAAAGTCTACCAATTCCAGACATATTCTAGATGGAATTCATTATAAATAAGCCCACACCTATTTCCCTAACATGAGCGGAGTCAAATCCCTACTCTGAGGCCAGCTGAGATCTGAACAGAATCTGGCGGAAGGACAGGATGTAGGGGCAGAAAAGGGAACCCTGACCATGGCAGGGAGAAGGAATCAGAAGAGAGCAGGTGCCACACATCTGCACACTGGGCCTTTCACACGCATCCCATGTCCACCTCAATAGCTCACTGTGGGACTGGCCCAGCGTGGAGAATGGAAGCCCAGAGCAAGCTGATTATTTTTAAGCAATCACATGCCTAGTAATGGTGGAACAAATTCAAACCTGTCATGCAGCCTCCTTGGTTTCTTTTTCCTCTTCTTTCCCACACTGCTTCTCTTCCTATTTACAGGACTTGGAATCTAAGTGGTGCCCGCTCTGCTGAACTGGCCTAGAACTCTGAGCCCAGCCACTCAGAAGGCCCTTTACCCATGGAAACAACCAGTTTTCTTACAAAGGGAAGGCTGAGATATCAACCACACTCTGGCTGATGTAAGCATGAGAAGGAGGGAAAAAGTCCTGCTCTAAGCAGTACTAACTGTAAACTCACACTGAAGAAAAGCTCATGCCTGACATTTACAGTGCAGGAGACTCAGGAGAAGAAGCCTGAGAACAGTGCACAAAGTAGGAGGGCCAATGCAGGGCTGGAGTAAAAAGGGTCTTGTCTGGGACCACTGTGGAGGTGCTGGGATGCTGAGGCGCAGGTGTCCTGTGGGGAGGCCTGGGTGCTGTGGAGCCAACTCTCTGAAAGCAGAGCTACAGCTGAGCTGTAGGTAGGACAGAAGGAAAGGACGGCAGTAAGGACAGGGTAGCAGTAAGGATGAAGTGGGGAGCCGTAACAACACCAGCAATACCTCAAAGATGCATTAATGTATATTCACATTTGTGGTGTGCTTTAGAACAAGTATAGAAAGATACACAATGCCACAGGGGAGGAGAGTGGCACAAATCTGTAATCCCAATACTCAGGAGGCTGAGGCTGGAGCACTTTGAGTGTGTGAGGCTAGCCTGGGTTACACAGTGAGACCCCGTCTCAATACTTGTAACACTCCTCCACTTTTGACCCTCTTATGTCTTCCCACTCCCCATATTTTCATTTTTCCTATATACATGCAGGATACACTAGGAAAGGTCAAGCTAGCCTCCTGTAACCAGTGTGTATCTTTAGGCTAAAGCCAGAACACATATTTTGGAGTCCAGAGCCTTTTTCCTCGTCTACAATGGCCTTGAATTAAGGGTGACAACAAAGACACAGGCCAGACCTCCTGCATTCCTCTCCTATGGCCACTGCCAGCTTCCATGGGTCACTGTAATGGTCTAGCTGGCCTTTCTGATGGATGACACTGCCTGTGAACTTTCTGTCATTTCCCCACCTCACTCCAAGCAGTTCTTCTGTTTAGCTACCCTGCTTCAGAGTTCAACTGGCTTTGTGGTGAAAACATTCTGACCCTTCCCAACCTGTTCTCCTTACTTCTTATCAGAGTCTGGATGCCTCTTACAAGCAGTCAGTCCTGCGTCCCTTGTGATCCCCATTACAGCACGGTGCCAGAGACATGTGCTTACCCTTGCATGTGTGAGTCAAATGACAAGAGCATGGCCAGAAGGAAAGCAAGCAGAGTGGCCTGCCTGCTGTTCCGGGAGCCCCTGCAGCCCACATGCTTGAATGTGAGCATCTCTCATGCTGAACACACACTTAAGTCATCAACTGAAGAACTGAGATCTAGTAAGAGAAGAGGCTCTCACAGTTGTCATGTATTGCTCTAAAGGCCTGCTCCCAGACAAAGTGCTGCAACTTCCTGGAAGCATGGTGTTTCTTCTCTTCTCCTAACCTGCCTTTCCCGGGGGCAATATTGGCAATATGCACACTCCCATGAGCACTTGTGCAAGAAGTCCAGGCAATATTATCACATGCCTAATGCTATGATTTCAATTCCCTGCATACCCACCCCCCCCCATCTGTGTTGGGATTTTAACTCTCGGTGGCAATGTTAGGAGGCAAGGCCTAGTGGGAGGCTTGAGGAGGAGCCTCATGAATGGGTTCTTGCCTTTCTGGAAGGAATAGGTGCACTAAGGCAGGAGTCTGGCTCCCTGGCACTCTTCTGCAGCATTCTTTCCTTCTACTTTGCACAAGGCCCTCACTATAAGCTGAGCAGAGACTGGCACCACATCACTTTTGGATTTCTCAGCCTCCAGGACTATAAACTCAAAGAAACCTCTTCTCTTTGTCAGACAGTCTTTGTCCCATCACCCAGTTATCCTGGTGGCCCCTGGGTATGACTTTCCTGCTGTATTATGTCTACACCTTCCTTATCCCTCCTACCTGAAGCTTTTCCAATGGGAAAGGACTGTCTTTCCCTAGTCCTAATTTCAGAGAGATGTAAAAAAAAAAACCCACAAACTCAAAAACATATGCTTCACACTTGTTCCTTGGTATGATAAACTCACTGTTTCTTGGTAACCAGAATTACAAGACACAGAGAAGTAAGCATCTTTCATACTCTGGTAAACATTGTAGGGAACACAGGGAAACCTGGTAAACATGGAATTTAACTAGATTGACCTGGAGTAAGAGGTGTGGTTTCCTAGTGCATGCATGTCTATTGGAATGTGACCCTCTCTAAACTATGGTTTTTCCACTTCAGCACTACTAACAGATGGGCTGCAAATTACTTCAGAATCATGCACACTACAACTGCTTAGTAGCATCCCTAGCCTTTGTCCTCAAAATGGTTGTCACCTCTCTCCAAAATGAAAAACAGCTCAAGACACCAACAAAGGTTCAGAGTCAGGGACTGTGGTTTTTTGAATCAGAAAGGTCCCCACAGGCTCGTATGTCTGACAGCTGAATCATCAGTGGAACTGTTTGAAGGACTGGGAGGTGTGTCATTGGGGGTGGGTTTTGAAGTTTCAAAAGCCCACCCCAGGCCAGTGTCTGTCTCTGTCTCTGTGTCTGTCTCATCTGTAGATCAGGATGCAAAGCTCTCAGCTACTGCTCCAGCACCATGGCCCGTCTGCTTTCTGCCATGATGATCATGGACTAACCCTTTGAAACTTAAGCAAGCCCTCAATTTAATGCTTTCTCCTGTAAGAATTGCCTTGATCATGGTGTCTCCTCACAGCAATGATATGTGCATGTGGTAGAGATGGGATTTGGTGACATGGCTTCTTTGTGTTTGAAAGCAATGGCCCTGGCTGCTGGGTTGAGGAGGTTAAAGGAGACAGGTGGGAACTGCTTATATTATGTTATTCCAAAACCAGAAAACCCTGAGCCATGAAGCTCCGGCTCACAAAGTAGCAAAGTAGCATAGAGGCTTCAGTGGTTCCCAAACACAGCAAGGCTTGAAGCACCAAATCCCTAGAAACCCAGGAGTGACTCTGCAGAGCTCTTTCTGCTGTTAAGTTTTATAGCTCCAGCATTTGTTTTCTCTTTTTTTCCCCCCAGTTTCTTCCAATGTTTTTTCCTCTTTAATGACAGATTTCCCTGCTTATTATTTGGTAACAGTCATGAAAAAGATTACTCAGAGCTTTCACAATGGACTCTTTGCAGTTAACTATAGAAGTTCTTCCACCCTCCCCAAGCACAAGGAGTGCAGGTCACTTACCTCGACGCAGAGTATGAGGGCTGGGACCAGCTGCACTGTGAGGTGTGCCCACCGAGAGCTGATGGGAGCTACCACCTGATGGGGCCTGGCTTGGGCCTGTGGTCACCTGGTTGTTGTTTCTTCCTGGTGCAGGGACAGCTGCACACACAGAGTCTTTGGGTTTTGGAGGACTGAGAGGGGTAAAGATGAAGTTAGATGTCAGGCATTCCCTGGTATAAAAGCTAAGCACTCCATAAAATACAACTGTTACTTGGGATGGGATTTGGGGGTGGGAAGTTCCAGGACTTCTTATAGATACCGAAAGTCAAGGATGCTCAAGCCCTGTATGTAAAATGGCATTAAAACCTAACTGTCAGCACAGCACCTTTCTGTGTTCCTTCAGTTAACTCTCACAACAACCAATACAGTAGAAGAGCTAAGGGAATGCTGGATAGGCTGTACTGTCTGGAGAATGGCAAACAAAAAGTGTTCCATACAGTGGTTTTTGTTTTTAAGATGTGTGTGTGTGTGTGTGTGTGTGTGTGTGTGTGTGTGCGTGTTGCCAAATATGTGCAGGTGCTCAGAGAAGCTAGAAGACTAGAGTTGCAGGTGGTTGCATTGCCAAACATGTGCAGGTGCTCAGAGAAGCTAGAAGACTAGAGTTGCAGGTGGTTGCAAGCCTGTGGGTGCTGGGAACTGAACTCTGGTCCTTTGGAAGAGCAACACTAAGCCTTCTTTCCAGACCTATAGAAATAGTTTTTAAAAATTATCTGAACCACAGATAGCTGAATCTGTGGATACCAGAACCCAGGGAGATGAAGGTTATTTGAAATTTTAAATAGCTTGCATTGGGCTAGTAAGCTGAAATTTACTCAGAGACTAGACATTGAGATTCCCTGCAATAGACTAAGTTTCAGATACTCTGCCAGAGAAATTAAGGCCAGTCATTTCAGAGCATCTCCAGGAAACCTCAAGTTCTGTTTTGCATGTACTTAAACTGGGTGTTATTTTATGAAAATAAGGTTTGGGGATTTTTGCTAGCTATTGTACAAAATGAACATTGCAAAGTAACACTCAATCTAGATAACTCAGTTATCTAGATTGAGAGGAGAGAAATTCTGAGCAGCTGCTTGATGACTCAGTCTAAAGCTGACAGCAGCAGGGGAGGTGCATTGCAATTCAGGTTTCCTACTTCCTTGTTCACAACTTTCTATACCAAATATTACAATCATTTTGTCAAGGCCACCAAAGGGCAGATGTGAAATGTGCACAAAAGTATCTCAAGCACAAAAACCAAAGGGAGACATTCTAAAAGGTTGACATTCCATTCCTCTGTCTGCAGTGAAGGATACTTTCTTAAATATTTAGCTTTGGTTAAGCAAACTGAATGTCATGAGGAAATGAAAATGTGTGCATACTCTCTTTCTGACATAAACAAACAAACAAAAAATATCCACCCTAAAACCAAGCCACATATGGAAGAGTGGTCACTAACAAGCCAGGACAGTACCTATAGCACATGCATAAAGGCTGGCCCTGGCCAAAGGCAAAGCTTGAGATTTCTTGACTGAAGGTGAACTTCCCTAGATTATGGGAATCGAGGAGGGCTCAGGAATGCACTGAAGCACCGAGTCCAGCTATGGTAACAGAATAAGAGTCCTACCTGATATGTCTTCTGCCATCACAGTTAGTGTTCTACCATGAGCTATATCCTAGCCCCGTGTTTTAGTTTTTATTTTGAGACAAGATCTCAATGTTACCCAGACTGGACTTGAACTTGTGATTCTCCCAAGTAACTGGGATTATGGGGTGCACCATCATATTTCTATCTTATCAACAGCTTCACTTCCCTCAACCAAAAAGATACAATGAGAGTTCTCCAAGAAAAATTCATCTGAGTGTGATAAACTATGCCTGGATAAATAGGTTTTGTTTTGTGCACATTTACTTTACCTCATATATGATCATGTGGCACTGTGTGGATGGCCAAAGATGAGGACTAAAATAATGACAATTAAAACTTTAGCACTCTCTGGATGGCTCATCTTCTACAGAGCCATGGGTTCTAAACCAGAAAAAACTATGGCCTCTGCCTGACCAGCATAGAGAACTGGATGACACCAAGAGAATAAAAATCTCCAGTCAGAAGGCATCTCCTCCTAAAGATGACCTATTGTGAAGCCCAACTCCCAGCGGCATGTCAAAAGTTCAAGTGACTGACCCATGTGTCAGCTCCCTGTAAAACTGAAAGCCCTGAGTGGTGGAGGGATCCTTGTCACCATTGCGCTGTTGGCCTGTGCAACAGCAGCTACTTGGTGACTCTGGGCCACTGAATGTAGAGCGAATGGATGACAAATGCCAAGAATACTGTGACTCAAATAGCTCAGTGCTTTCAAATGCGTTCTAGCTAGCACACTGAATGACAACACTGACAGTTACACACCGAAAAGGCTGAGCACACCGTTAAGACACCTGTTAGTCTTTACTTCCCAGCATCAAAGCACACAAACAAGTGTTGCTTTCTCCTGAAAACAGAAAAGCAAACAAGCAATTTGTAGTCTTTTCTCCCCACTAACCAAGGCATGAAAGCAAATCTGATTCACTCTCTGCCACTACATTCTTTGGGCATGGCTACCATGCCAAAGACTGCCACTTGGAAGAAGGCAGGGGTGTCTAGCCTTGAATGCCAGCAGAAGTGGGCTCCTTACCTGCTGTCACCCGGGCTCAGCCCCTGCTCCAATATGCCTGCAGAAGAGGGGATAGGCCCACCCCCTGAGCTGCTGTCAGCCCTAGAGCTCTGAGAAGGCAGCTCTGGGCCTGCTGGAGCCAAGGCGTTGCCATCTGTGGGCGGGAGTGGCGGCTGGAAAGCAGGGGATATGTGCTTTCTATTTAGAGTGCCACCCCGCCGGTGGGCCTGGAAGTCCATAAGCTTCACACCAAAGCTACACAGAGAGAAGAAATAGTCAACACACCACACAAGCCAACCAAAGAGACGGAAGCCCGCTGGTTCTCATAGGTTAAAACCACAGCCCACGTGGCCCAGCATGCAGTTAAATGGCAAGGCTGTGTCAGTGGTTGTCCCAGAAACCAAAGTGAGTATTTGGATCTGGCTTTAAACCTTAGCAAAGCCAACACCTCACACTGATCAGGTTGGTGTATGCAGCTGAAAGCAAACAAGCAAGCCTCATGTTAAGCGACATGGTGTTCTGTGTTGGTTTCCCATTACCTGATTCCCATCTCAAACCTGTGTGTGGGGAGGAGAGGGAAGCCAAGCCCAGAAGCATACCAGTGCTGGCATGGGATACAGAAACATTCATGTGTGTACATGAGGATACAGCTGAAAGCTACGTAGGGCTGGAAAAAACAGTTGCTTTTGGGAGGGTGGCATCTGGAGGATGGGGCAGAAGGAAGAAACTCTTCATTCAGACCATTTGTGCACGGACTTCAAAACATTTTTTTTTTTTAAAGTTTGGATAATTAAGATACTGGGCTCAATTAACTGATATTTATTGGAGAACATACAAAGCAGACAGCTGAGAATGGTGTGTCATGGACTAGTGAGACTTGTAACACCACAAGCTGTAACTTAAATTCAGGGGACTAACTGTTCTAATAGGCCACCAGGGAATAATGGTAAGGACCTGCATGATGCTCAGGTATCAGAACTCAATGATAAAGGATGATGGTGAATTTCAGAGTGAGAGATTAGGGAAATAAAGCTGTCTTGAACAAGAGAAGCCCACTATGAAACTTAGCCTGCCAACCTTGTCACATGTATGAAGACAGTGTGTTGCTTAACACAGCGCTTAGATGTGGAGCTACTATAAGTTGCTAGCATTTTCCTCACACAGGGATAAATTGCCCTCTAAATGCAAGAATCATACATGGTCTAAATTAGCAATGAGTATCTCATAAATTGCCCATACACAATAGGGTGGAAACATGCCTCTAAATTTAAAACATACATTTCCCTTCTCCAGAACTGTCAAATTCTGGGGCTTCTCCAGTAAATCTGGACTCAGCAGTCAGCAAATGTAGCAAGGCCAAAAATATGTTTCTTCACAGCTCACTGGGAAACATGGTTGTCCTTATATGATCCTCAGCCAAAATCCTCATGTGTTAATGATGTTTCGTTTCTTGTTTCCTAACACTCAAATACATTTAGGTGGGTTAGTACATGTGACACCATTCCACTGTGGGACACATAAAGGCATCAAGTAAAGCCTGATGCACAAGGCACAGATGTTAACAGACAATCTAACCCCTGCCCATCTTTGTGGTCAGATTAATGTCTGTACAGACTGACAGTGTGGTTTCTGAATTAGCTAGACTCTGTAAGGCAGGGTTACACAGGGGGCCATTAAGCCAGATCCATGGGTCAAATATCCTCCTTCATGATACCTACTAGTCCTGAGGAAGTGACCAACTCTACACGTACCTCTCCTTTTTCACCAAATCCCCTTCCATCACCGCCATGCTGACAGGTCGCTTCCTCTCCAGGGTCCCCGAGTCAGAGTCATTTCCAGTGTGGGATGTGTGATTAGAATTTGGGGTAGCAAGAGGAACAAATGCTTCTGATACATTGAATTCTATCTCTGTCATAAGAGAAATAAATAAATAAATGTGAGACCTGGCACACACACGGGGTGCTCTCCAATACCCCAGTGGAATGAGCGCCTCCATAATCCACAAGGGCAGCTCAAGTACTTTCATCTGAAGAATGGACCCTGACCCCAGTGGAGGCAAGCCAAGAAAGGTCAGCTGAGCACACAGCTCTACTGCTCTTAAAAGAAATCTAAGAATTCAGAAAGGGACAAGGAGCATAGAGAACTTACTGAATAATTAAAAAGGTGACAGAAATCAATATTTACATAAAATAGAAATGAAAGGCATCATTAAAGATTCACTGTCTATACCATTTTTTTTCCCAAGAATCGCTTTCTTGAAGGAATCACAGGTAGTATGTCAATCTTCATTCTCCTACCCACCTTCGCTAAGCATCAGCAATGAATGATTCTCAAGGACAAGAAGACAGAAGAGAAGAACTGAGCCCAACCCTGGCATCGGGAGCTTACACTGCAGTGGACTGGGCAGCTGGGCTGCACTAAGAAAAGCAGGGCTGGGACGTGTGGACTCAACACATATGCAACCAGTTCCTGAAGAGGAAGCTGTGGGAACCTCTGTGGGTCCCAGGATTGCAACAAGAGAAACTGGAAAACACCAGCTACAGAATTAAAACGTAATTCTCTGACTTCGAAAACCAGCTCTAACCAGCCCTAGCCTTGTCTGCTTTATTTGTACCTTTGCACAAAGCAAACAACTATGCAGAGTCAGGAAGAAACCCTGTTATAAGGGATGGCCTCTGTGCAGTCAGCGTCACTCCTGAAAACAGATCCTGGCTCCATTTTCCCAGCACCGAGTTCATCAAACCTTTCTCTCTCCAACATCCTAATTTGCTACAGGTGTTAAGTTTATTTTATCTGTTTATGTGGCTGCCTGCTCAGGGAACACACGTTCTTTCAGAGAAGATATGCAATCATAGCAACTAGTGAGCATTTATTTAATATATACTGTCTGGATATTTTGTTTGTTTGGTTTTGGTTTTTTGAGACAGGGTTTCTCTGTAGCTTTGGAGCCTGTCCTTGAACTCGCTCTGTAGACCAGGCTGGTTTCGAACTCACAGAGATCTGCCTGCCTCTGCCTCCAGAGAGCTGGGATTAAAGGCGTGTGCCACTACTGTCCAGCCCTGAATATGTTTTAATGACGCTAAGGGAAATGGAAAATAATATTAATTATCATTATATCAAAATATAAATGCACACAAATGAAATCTAAAGTGAAGTTTGAGAAAGCGGAAACCAATTACATAATCATCAACATGTTTTCTTCTTTTAAAAAAATGTGATATATTACTATCACATAGCTTTAGCAATTGGTGAGCCAGGAACCAGGATTACCTCCAGGGAAGAACCAATCTGCATGCTGGATGATAGGTTCAATCACCGCAACCACGTGGACAGATGTGGCAGCTGCTATTTCAGCCAGTGTTCTGCAAGGAAGTTCACACAATTAAAATGCTCCACCTTGGCAGTCACACATTTTTGCAAGCTGCCAGGGCATCCCAAAGATTACTGATGGATAAAATATTTACATACAGATACAAAAATTAAACCCACGGGCCCTATCCTGTGAGTTTTCCTGTAATGGCCCAAGGGGAAAAATTATCCAACTATCAAACCTTCCCCAGCAGAATGGTAACCACCACCATGTCCATGCATGGGCACCAGGGCAGTGACACAAGGGTTTTAAGCTGATTGAAATAGGGCTTGCATTTTCACACTCAACACCTGGTAGGCAGACCCCAAATCACCCCAAACTATTGATGCCTATGATGCCACCAAGAGCGAGTATTTAAGTGTCCTCAAAGCCCCTGCCTTCTCATGGCAGGCAACATACATATATAAGCTCTGATTCCACGATGACAGTCCAGATGCTGAAAGGGTTTGCTAAAAGGGCTCAAGAAAAACAACAACAAAAACCAATCATTATCACTGCCATCAAACTCACCCTTGAGTCCGACACCGCCAAAGCAAGCAGCTTGCGATGTGCCTGATGGTTACTATGCATCCACAAAGCTTTAGGTTCTCAACAGACCTAAACTGTCCCCAAGTGGAGGATGTTCATATGGAGGCGAACCAGAAGGCAGGAACCAGAGGTCAAGCATCACTTTCAAAGGCAACCCCTAGAGACCTGCCTCCACCAGTTAGGCCCCACTTCTCAATAGCTCTACAACCCCACAAAAAAGTGCCATGAGCTGGGAAACAGATGTTTAAAACATGAGTCCACAAGGGACATTTCAGATTAAAAACACAACAGGAACCTCGACAATCCCCACAGGATCCAGGAAAGCAAGTTCTAAACAAGCCAGCAGCATACACTAGGCCCTTTATATCCCACCTTTGATCTGAGGCATTTTCCAGTTATCCAGACCATGCACACTGTTCTCAAAAGGCAAACACCAAGCTCTGACCGCCTGTGGTGCTTTCTATGGTCTCAGTATCAGGGGCAGGAAAGTATTCCTTCACTAAGGTGAACAAGTGCTGCTCCCTGATGAGAGTGCTTGCCAGTCTCCCCAGTTTGTCACCATCCTCTGATCTACACTGCCAGCATTGAGAGGGTAGAACAGTATACCCCAATGTGTGCCCCTGTGGTATAATGCTATTCTGAGGTGAAAACAGCAGATGCCAGAGGGAGCTCTGGCTGTCTTTTTCCTTCCTGAGGGCCAGAGATAACCTAGTGAAAGACACCTTCCCACAATTCAGAAAAGAAACATTCTTGCCATCCATGACAGGGTGACAGGGTCAATCTGTACAAATAAACTGTTGGACCAATTCTCATTGCCCTAGTGTGTCTCTATACTCAACTGTCCAGCCTAAGTCCATCTTGCCACATGTTCACAAAATACTACACTGCCCAGCTAGAGCAGCATTTCCTATGTACATGCAAAAACCTGTAGGTTTTTCTCCTGTCAATTTGTTTTGTCAGTTAAACTGTCAGGCACAGCTATAGACACTTACAGGCTTGAAGCATGGGTTTGTCTCCCTTGTGCTGCACACACACACACACACACACACACACACACACACACTGCTCACACTTCTCATGCACTTTATTCAAAACAGATTATTGAGGGCTTAGAAGGAGAAAACAGGTCCAATATCATCACACCAATTTAACCAATTTCTAATTTACTTTTCCTTTATAATCTATTTCCTTTACCTCTACATTAATTACATGGTGATTAATAGTAAGATTAATATGTGTTTAATAAAGTAGTTTTTAAAAAATGAAACTGTATTTGAGAACTCCCATTTTAATTATGAAAATAATTTACTGCATATGCTGCTATATGTTAGGTCGTATAAAAGTGAAACATTATGAACAACCAAGCTACCTATAAACAAGGAACAGGTTGATCTATAGTAGAACACTATAAAAACCACATAAAATCACGTAGTGATACTGAAAAGTCTCCAAGATGTATTCAGCAAAGATATGGAGTAAAGCAGGCAAAGGAGAGATGACGAACACAATGTACACTATCATCCACGCTAAAAATAAAAAGTGGGTTCAAGGTAAATAGACTACCTTGATCTATAGTAGAATACTATAAAAACCACATAAAATCACGTAGTGATACTGAAAAATCTCCAAGATGTATTCAGCAAAGATATGGAGTAAAGCAGGCAAAGGAGAGATGACGAACACAATGTACACTATCATCCACGCTAAAAATAAAAAGTGGGTTCAAGTGACGATGGAGGTGGGAATGAGGTAGGTATTACCACAATTCATTGTATACATATATGAAATTCTCAAATATGAAAATGTTATTTTTAAAAAGCGTGCAACGGGAGAGAAATATGTATCATGAATGTACTTGAACATGGGCACACACATACATAGCACACACACACACATGCACACACAGAGGCTCTTGCAGAGTTTACAGATACTGAAGAAAACTAGATTTTTATCTCAGAAGAACTAGGTGTCTAGGGACAAGAGAATTTTCAATGTATAGCTTTTGAACTTGGGACCACTGGAATGTCTGTCCTTCATTATTTAAAAAAGAAAATTACTAAAGGTTACAGAGAAAAAGAAGCAAACCAAAAGGTCAAATCCCAACACACTAAGGATTGTAACTGAGTTCCCACATCACACCGAATAGACTTCCATTATCTGCCATTCTGAGCCAGGTGTGTTACACATTATCAAGGAGAAATGTTATAGATCCTAGAAGCTCACAAGGCAAAGCCAATCTTTCAGATGTGGAGATGGAGTATCGGACATAGCTGAGACAAAGACCAAAACCAAGCTTAAGTCAGGTAATGTTTCACAAATAACCTGTAAAGTGGATTTCAAACAAATCTCTTAAGAAAAACAAATATCTGATTTAAAGGTTTATTTTTAAATTTTAATTACATTTATTCCTCTGTGTGTATATATTACAGAGAAAGATAAGTGGGGAGAGAGAGGGAGACAATAGAAGGACACAACTTGCAGGAGCCAATTCTCTCTTTCTTGTGGGTCCCAGGAACTCAACTCAGCTTGTCAGGCTCAGCAGCAAGGGCCTTTGCCCACTGAGCCATCTTGCTGGACCCTTAACTGACAATTCCCTGGGGCTACTTTTCCTCTACACATCTTCCAGGTTACAGGTTTTCCAAAGGAAAAACAACAGTCCCAGAAGGTTGTCCCATGGGAAGTTTTCTTAGAGACATTATTTAATAACATAATGAAATATAATCTCCACACTATTTTATATGAAAGGATACAGAAAGTGTAATTACGGATTAACTGTCCATTTATATAAGGGGCAGCCCAGTCTCCAAACACAACATACAGTCACCAAAGCTTCTCACAGCAAGGTCTTTGCTAACAGCTGCACTGTGCAAATGATCAGATCATCTATATATATCAACATCACCTACAGACTAGTGTACAGTAGTGCATGCACACCCGCCCCATCCCAGCAGCTCCATATTATTCTGCAGGCATACTGGAGGTGGGGTCATCTCGGAAGAAACATATCCACTCCAGGATCACTGCAGCTTCTGTTATACAATCATATACACTCTGATGGCTAATTTGATGTCAACTTGACAAACGGGGAAGAAGTAACAACTGAGGAAAAGCATCTATCGGACTAGCATGTGGGCATAAACTGTAGTGCTTTTTCTTGATTAATAACTGATGCAGGAGGGACCAGCCTACTGCCATCCTTGGGTAGGTTAGCCCAGGCTGTGTGACAGCTAAGCAATAAGGCTGGGAGTAAGCATAAAACAGTCTCTCCTTCAGTCTGTGCCTCCAGGTTCCTGCCCTGAGTCTCTCCCTCTATGATGGACCATAACCTTAAAGACAAACCCCAAGGAGCTTTTGATTATGATGTTTATCACAGCAACAGAAATGCAAATGCAAACACATACCTAAAGTTAACAAAATTTTGTGGTGGCAACTTCTGACATGTTGTCCATAAATATTGAAGTTTTTTGTCTTGATCCTGCACACTAGGAAAGAAATATATACAAGAATTTATAAAAGCACACATTGTTAATACCCATATTAATGTGCTTATATAGCACCCGTTTGTCAGAGGCACCTGTGCTAAAGTCTTGATTGACAGTCTGTGGTGCTAATAGGAGATGCTGGAACCTTCCTGAGGCAGGGTGCAGTTGGAAGACTCGGTTCCTAGAGGGAGGTGTTAGGACCCCAGTTCCTACCTGTGTTCTACTTGCCAGCATGAGGCAAATATGCTTCTACCACCATGATGTACCATAATGTATGGCATAGCCACAAGTCTGAAGCATCAGGAAATGAACTTCTGAATCGAATAACCACAATAAACCTGCCCTCCTTTAAGCCGATTATGTCACATATTTCATATAGCAGAAATCTAATGCATGTTCTTTTCCAAGTGAAGCTTGTCTATTTTCAAAACTGCAAGAGAGCACTGATTTGGAAAATAAACAGATATGGAGTCAAATCCCAATTCTACACTATCTGACTGCAAGCAGGTACTTCATCTCATCAAGCTTTGCAGGACAGGGGAAGAATGTCGATTCTGTTGAATGATCTTAAAGCTAGAGGCAGAATCCTGTGAAACCACCATGCCCCAACCTTGGCAAAAGCAGACACTATTGAAAATTCTGTCTAGGAATGTGTATATTAATTAGCAGCATTATAAAGCCTAGCTTTTCTTAACATAAAGGCAGGCTGGTCACAGATCTACTGCCAAACTCCCAGGAGCCCAGACCTCAGGTCTCTCTTGCTGTCAATTCTGCTCCAAAGCTCCAGTCTGGCGCTAATTCCCGTGTGGAACAGTTACAAGAGCTCTGGTTCTACACAGCTTTGATTTACAAACTTCCATAAACACAAGATAGGAAGAAAAGAACCCACAGAGCAACAACTCTGTCCTCTACAAAGAGTGTAGTGGGTACCCATGATGCTGATGAGTTGCAGAACAGAGGGTCATCTGATTACACTTTAGAGGCCAGCCACCAAGTTAACAGAATGGCTTTTTTCAACATTTCTCAACTACAGTATCTATCTGCCAGCAGACAGATGCCTTCTCCTTCAGGAAGAATTTTAGTCTAGGAGCCTAGAGGAGAGTTGAGGTGAGGAGACTAATGATACAAGAAACCCCAATGATGCCAACTGTTGTCAATTCATTTAACTCAGTCCCAAGACAGACTGAGAACTTGTTTTTGAACTTAAAACCTCACCACCTACCAGGGAGAAAGTCCACAGTGACTGCAGATCCCCGAGAAGCAACACAGTGATCACCACAAATATCTCTAGCTAATTGTGGTCAGCTCAGTAGGAGAGTGACAGAGTAAGCTCATGGGGGAGGGGCAGGAGTAAAGGTGAGACTAGTTCTTCCTCAGGACTGAAGAATTCGGCAATTAAGGGTGAAGTGAAAGGTAACAAGGAGATCACCTTTGCTGGCCAAGGACAAGCTAATAACATTTGAAATACACTGTCCTGTTACTAGACAGAGTGAAGCTGAGGGTGAAGGACAAGATCAAAGAATGGGCGGAGCCTTTGGGGCAGATAGGTCTCCATGTGGATGCCAGTTCTGACAATTCCTTGGCCCAACTCCTTCCCAAGCCCCAGTTCCTGTATCTGTACAATGAAGATAACATGAACACAAGCCTATTCTGGATGCTCAATGCTTATTAAGAATGGCAAGAGGCAAAACAAACAAACAAACAAAAGCCCACCAAAACCAACAACAACAAATAAACAACAACAAAACAGTGCCAGGTGATGGTGGTGGACACTATTAATCCCAGCATGCAGGAGGCAGAGGCAGGAGGATCTCTGTAAGTTCGAGGCCAGCCTGTCTACAGAGCAAGTTCTAGGAAAGCCAGGGCTGTTAGATAAATCTTGTCTCAGAAAACAAAACAAAACAAAAAAGCATATCAGGAGAGAGTGGGGCAAAGCTTAGCACACAGTAGACACTGAGAAAACACCCAATCCTGCAAATAAGACTCCTCCTAGTCTATTTCTGAATGGCTGAGCCTACAAGCAGCCAGCAGCACAGTTACCCTACAATGCATGCCCCCAGCTGCAGAACTGTTTTCACTATAAAGGGGTTTGAGACCAGCCAATTCATTAATGTGGGTGAAGCCATAGCAGTTCTAACAAAAGCACAATCCGTGAGCATTTTTTATTCTAGCAATACTGAGCATGTTCACTTTGGATGCAGGTAGAACAGGGGTATCCTCATGCATAATATGTCAGTGTCCCATGATTCCTGAGAGTGCAAGGACTCACAAATGTGCCATAGTACTTCATCACTGCTTTGAACTTTTCAAACTCTAAACACTTTAAACTTACCTTGCAACTTGTGTCCATTCTTCATACAGACTGAAAGTCATCAAGGGCTCAGGCAATTCCCGCAAATAAGACTTCAAAGCACCTGAAACCATGAACACATCCTGAGTATGCACTGGGGGCCAAAGGTGCATCGTTCTGCAAATGAAAGTATCTCATGCAGTCTGCCAAGTGCACAAAACAAACCACAGTTTGGCAGCAATGCTTAGATGATGAAACCTTATAAAAGAAATTCAGTTTCTTGCAGAAATACACCATATACATCAAGAGAACAATGGAAAATAAAATTTGCTTTAAGGTAATTCTATTAACGTAACAAAATTTCTCCAGGCAAACGCAGGTCATGGGTGTGACAGGAAGGAAGAAATACACCCTCAGAATAAATACAAGCTACATCTGAGCACACTGTCTTCACTGAAAAGAAACTTACTCTAGCCATGCAATGCAGTGCTGGCCTTGTGGGTAGAGGACAAGAAAGGAGGACAATCCTTGGTATTCCAAACAGGGTGCCATGTTTGTCACCTTTGCTTAAAAACAGGGCAGGAGGGGAGAAGAAAACCCAGAAAGAAGAGAAAGATGTACACTATGTGCACACACATAGTGCATGCTAGGAGATCTGACCAGGGGGCCTCTCATTTGACCACTCACCCCCTAAATGACAACTGCTCTTTCAGCTGGTTATCTGAGAAGGACTTGCCAGCCACTGAGAACAGCTAGGCTTGCAAGTCCTTGGACCTCACCTGCTACAGCATGGGGGTCTGAATAGAATTCATCCAGATGAGATGTGGAGCAATCTAAAGCAGCTTTCAACTTCTTTAATTTGGAGGCTCCAGCCCCAATCCGAAAAAGGCCCTAAAGACAATAAAAAGCCAGTAGCATCAAGTCAGAGCTGAGTCTCAGCCTGGGGATCTTCGGCTTGCTTATGAGAGCAGTCACACTGCCCATCTTACACCATTCCAAGGACTGAAGAGTGCTGTGTGTGTCTAGCACATGTGACAGGAAGAACACAGACCTTAATGCTAGTAGTTCTTAATCTATGGAAAAGCCTTTTTATTTCATAGCACTGACTATTGACTTCTATATTATCTTACAAATTAATTTTTTTAAAAATGACATTTCAGTGAAAACAGACCAGACTTCATGTCACTTTCACTGACCTAAATGTGGCTGGTTTTTGTTTTTTGTTTGTTTTTTTTTAAGGAAAACACATAGGGACTCAACCAATAAAGGCAGGTTTTATAAAAGACAGTGGACCAGGATTTAGGAGACTTGGGCTTAAGTAATAAATCAGCAAGCTTCTCAACACTTTATACACCCAGTGATTCTTCACTGGGAATGAGTGGGTAGTATTGATGACAATCAAGTATTGCTGCTCTCCTGGAGAGCAAAAGCAGGTCAAATTGAGAAGCATGGATAGGGGCTTTTAAAAGTTGAGGTTAGGTACCAGGAGCCATGAGAGCTTCCATGATGCTCTTGATTTGGGCTGGATTAGACGACAAAGTCGTATCTGTGAAAACTCACTGTGTTGTTCACCTACAGAGCCTCTGTTCTTCTGTATGCATGTGAAACAAAAGATTCTTTTTTTTTTTTCAAGACAGGGTTTCTCTATGTACCCCTGGCTGTCTGGAAGACCAGGCTGGCCTCGAATGAACAGAGATCTGTCTGCCTCTGCCTTCTGAGTGCTAGGATTAAAGGCGTGTGCCATACCACCTGCCTAACAAAATATTCTTTAAAGGACAGAGAACCATGCATTTTGAATGTAGCTCTGCCCTGGCATGAACTCATTGTGTGTTTACCTCTATGTAAGAGGACAAATAGGAGCTGCCTTGCTTGGTTCATGCAGATATTTTTGGTCTGGATCATATAAAATACAATATATACATGTACCTTTTAAAAACCACTGCACAACACACACAAATGTAAGACTATCATAAACAAGAGCTCATGGACGTTCTCAGCTACCAGAGCATTGTCCCAAATCATAAACAGATTGAAAGAGACAGGATGGTGAAATGTCAGAGTGCACTGCAAGCAGAACAAGTGCACACTGTTCTGGAGGTCCACTTTATTTACTAAATAAAGGTCCATGGACTCATTGGAAAATATGGATCATGGGGACAAAGGTCTGAAAGCCAATGGTCTATACCTCCACAGTGGCTGTAGAATAAAAGTGTATGGGGGGGGTCATCTGGACAGAGGAAGGGTCAAATGATTTGGCAGGTGGGAACTGGGGTGCCCCTCACCTCCTCCTTCATGCCAGTCTCCAGCAACAACATGACGCAGGCCTCAATGGGGAGAGCAATCTCACGCCCACTCCTCTTCAGGTGTTCCTCCAGGGGTGTACCAAAGGCTGGTTTCTCTGCCCACTTATCTAGAGCATGAAATAGTTGGTAAGACTGTTGGCCATGAATCCCTGGGAATTTTCTTTCCATAGCACCAAAGGGCTCCCTTACAGACTGGTAGCTGGGGCTTGGGTAGAGGAGAAACACCCAGACATTTGGTAAGCTTTTGTCATTTACCAACTACAGGAGCACAGACCATGCATCAGGCCAGAACTGGGGGACAGAGGATCCTAGCATGCCCAATGGCATGACTTGCCTAGGGGAGATACTGATAGTGGGTGGCCCTGGACCTGCACCACATACCATCAACACATGTGGAGCCAGAGGCCTTGCATTAAAATTCAGGCTACATCAGGGCACACTGTCTTTACTGAAAAGAAATTTACTCTAGCTATGGAAAGTAGTGCTGGTCTCTTGGGTAGAGGACAAGAAAGAAACTCCATGTAAAAGGACAATCCTCAGCATTCTAAATGGGTGCCATGTTTATCACAGACCAAAAAAGGTCAAGGTGAACTCAAAGTAGCTAACACACTGCAACATGCAATACTATTCACCAATCTATATCCAAATTAAAAACCTCTGAGGAGAAAAGCTTTGGTGTATGCAGTTCCCAAGTGTTTTATGACTTTTGGGTCACAGGCCCTATTTCATACACCACAGATCTGAGGCAGCTCAGCAGACACGTGCACAATGAAGCAGTTTAGAAGAATTGGGAACATGGACATACTGAATTAGAGTATGAGGTGCCTGGTTGGTCTGGCTTCCTGTGGGCACCACAGAGATCTAGTGCTGCTTGGAAAGCACACAGAAACCAAAGAAGGAACCAGCACATGATCCTGTGCAGCCAAGGAAGAGAGTACATCCTCCCAGCCTCTGATGGATGCCCTCCCACCACCATCCCGCTATTGGAGGGCTGGATTTGGGCTGTCCCTCGCCTCCATGTGGGGGATGAGGCCCCTCCACCCACCCATACAGAGAGGAAGGGAGAAAAACAAAATGCTACAGATACACAGGCCTAAAATGATTAAAAGTTTAAAATGACAGCAGGGGGAAATGAGGAAAGATGAGAGAAAGTGGTGGAGACAGAACACAGTGGATAAAAACACAGACCAAGGTATATGCCACTCTCAGCTCCTCCCTTCTGCCCAGGTCCTAGCACCGGCCTAGGGAACTTTCTAATAGAAAAAGTATCTGGAAAGCCTGTCCTGTCCCACAAGACAGAGGTCTGTGATAGATCTCTAGAAGCATATATCTTACCTAGACTATTTTGTCCCTTTTACCTAAAGCAATGATGGTCAACCAGGCTCAAAATGGTCATGTGACCATTCTCTTAGTGGATATATAAGAGGCACTTGGGAGTTTTGTATATGACACCTGTAATTGCCTCTATAACATGTCCAACCCTGGATGTTGATGTCAAACAGAAGATAAACATAAGCTGGGAGGAAGGAGCCCAACACCCTGCCCAAGTCCTGTTTCCTATCTGTATAGTCTATTGTAAAACCATGGTCCTGGCTCTCACACTAAAAATCTCTATTTTTAAAATAACAAACTGTCTTAACTGGCAGTCATGAGTTCAATCATGGGCGCTGAACAATCTCAGAAGGAATTAGGTACAACGTAGCCAAGAGAACCGCAGCAGCATCTTGGTGGCTGTGTCTCCTGTCAGTCAGAATGCCCTGTGATGAAGTGTCTTTGAGGCTGCACATGGGCCCTTACTGCATGTAGAGCACTAGAAGGAGGACATTTTCCTATACACATGTACCTCTGCCCCATTGTGAACTTGTCTAGAGGATCACACAATGAACCCTAAAAGAGAGATCCAATCCACCATGATTTGGGATGAGAGAGGGCAACCTTAGCCCACACACATGCCATCTACCTTATAAACATTTATAAAAATTTTGAAACCAATGAAATGGGGCCCACTGTGTTGCTTCCTGCCTTTGGGGCAGCCCACTACAATCTCTCTTTGGAGTGCTTGTTCTGCCAAATAAACTTCTGCTTAAGCTTTTCATGTCTCTCCACTTTCCTTTGAGAAGACAAGAACTGACTGAGATTCCCCCCTACCCCCCATAACACTGAAAGATGACCATACTCCAGTCCTCTCTTGGAATGTTGTAGTAAACACTGAGCAGAGTATGGCTTACCACCCACTTTGGAGTGTTAGCAGCAGAGGGAACAAATGAGAACTTCTGACCTAGACACAATTCCAAAAGCAAGTTCCAGTTCAAGAGCTGGCCTTCAAACAACAGGCCTACTGTGTGTCAAGTACTGCAGCAGGCACACGAAATTCGTAAGGACTCCCCACTTTCACAGTGAGAGCAACTAGACTGTGAAGGACACATAAGACAGACACATGAACATGTAACAGCCATTAGACAGGACATATTGCTAAGATGTGGAGATCAATGGTATAGACGAGGGTCGCAAACCACAATTGTTGGGTTGTTGGGTAGAACAGGTCTGTCGGCCAGGGTGGAGAGTCTGGCTGCAGTCACTCTGAGAGCAGGTTGGAGGTTTCCACAGGGGAAAATATGCTATGCTGAGACCTTTAAAATATCCAAGAGAAGCCAGAGGTCAGGACTGTTAAAAAGTGTCTGGTTTTTCAATGGTGGCAACTGTTTTTTTGTTTTTGGGTTTTTTTTTGTTTTTTTTCGAGACAGGGTTTCTCTGTGGCTTTGGAGACTGTCCTGGAACTAGCTCTTGTAGACTAGGCAGATCTCGAACTCACAGAGATCGGCCTGCCTCTGCCTCCCGAGTGCTGGGATTAAAGGTGTTCGCCACCAACGCCCGGGGCAACTGACTTCTAACATAAAGTTGAATGAGCGATGGCTGTTTGCGACTCCTAGTATAGACCATCAATGTGTCAGCAATGCAGAGACAACCTGGCACTCCGTGCTGGCTGCAGTAGTTACAGAAGGCTCCTCAGAGGAAGTGAGTGAGGCAGGGACTGACAGGCATCAAGAAGCAGACAAGCACACATGAGGGGTTGGCTGGGAATAGCACTGAGACACATGGAAATGAGAGTGCTAGGGGCTGGTGGGACAGAAGGAAGGTGGAGCGCAGTGCCAACTACCCAGATCCCAGTCAAGGTATGCAAGGGGACAGAGTGATGGCTCCTGGGTTTCACAGTCGCAGAGTCTGAAAAGGGGCAGTAATGGAAGGTAGGAAGGGAAAGACAGCTGGAGTAAGAAGTCTCGGGGACTCTCTAAGATGTGTCCAACGTAAGGAAGCCCAGATTCAAGGGAACTACCTGATACTTATAGTGCAGAGGGTGGGGCTTCAAGATGAAGGAATTCTAGAGAAAAAGGATGACAGAGGGAGGAAGAGAGGGACAGAAGAATGAGAACAGACTCAGAAAAGGCTGCTGGGTGGGAACAGAATCAAAGACACGTGGAATCCTTACCATGAAGGAAGAGTGAAATCAGAAAGGTGTTTGCAGACAGTGCTGACCTGGGCTGTGTCAAGCACCAAGATCTAGGGAAAAGGTCACTGCTCCCTGGGGAACTGTAATTTCCTTTAATGGTGAAGTGGGCACAGAAGCCAAACTGCAAATAGTTATGGGTAGGATGGCATGGTGGATATTGGAATCCTCCAGGCATGGAGACAGGGGGATCCACTGTATGATTTTTTTTTTCCTAGATATGCTGAGTCGTTCTGAGAGAAAGCTACTGAAGAAAAGACAGAGCTAAAAGAAAGGAAGGTACAAAGACAGGTGGAGGTGAGGGGGATGGATTGCAGCCCGTGAGGGAGTGACCTGAGAAAGACAGAGCACACCTCTTCACAGCGGTGCTCATCACACTCCAGCTTTCCCTCTTCTATCCTGAGCTCTTCTCTGCTCTCCTGACTTTCTGCATATTTCTCTGAAGAAGAACCCTGAATGGGGATGAGCAAGAAATCCAACCTTCTTGCTCATGTTAATATTCAACTCTTCCCAACAGAGTTCTCACCATTCAAAGGCTAGAATGACTCCGCATCTTGTCCCATGTATGGCCCAACCAGCAGAGACATCTCACAAACACACGTTCTAAATGCTCTGAACTTGACAGCAGTCTGTCCTTTGGAAAGATGAGCATTTGCTGCCGAGACTCAGTATATTGTGCAGGAACTGGGAAACTGAGTGATTTGGGAAAAAGGGCAGCCTGTCCTGAAAAGAACGGCCAGGTAATGAGACATGCTGCCCTGCACCTGGGATTGCTGAAGACTCAGTCAGGCTAGAGGAGCTCTAACTCCACAGGGCAAAACATCCAGAACACAGAATAACTCAACAGGGCTTCCTGAAACTTAGGCAAAGACATGGCATTCTCTAGGGGACCAGCCGCCCACACATTCGTGAGCACTACACGTTTGCCCACCTTGCCCAGTCACATGTTTGCCACACTCAGCACCTGTCCAGATCCCTTTGCAATTCAAGCTCAATGGCTCCACAGGGGATGTATGGTCCAAATGTCAGCTCTATGTACCAAACAAAACTAGACTCAGTTCTCCATAACTGTGAGCTAAAGGAGCCAACAACTGCAGACCAAAAGTATTTGGAAAGGTTGTAGGCATAGATCATTTGCCTCATACATACATAACCTTTTTTTTGCATCGCAGTACTAGAAGGGAAAAAGAGAGAAAAGAAAGAAAGAAAGGGACACTGGAAAAGGCTGATCTGTACTGAGTATGTAGACACCTTCATTTCCTTGTCATTATTTCTCAAACAGTGCAGAAGAACAACTATTTTTATGTAGCACTGCATTATTATAATAGACATTGTTATCTAGAGATTTAAAAACATGGGATGTGTGTGGAGGGTGTTTGCCAACACTATGCTGCTTTACAAAGGGACTTGGAAGTCTGGAACTTTTGTTCTGGAGAGCGAATCACCTCATGTACACCAAGCGACAAACACAGTACAACCCAAAGATGGCAGAATAACTTCTTCCTGAATCTGCTGATAACCATTCTAACGGTAAATCATCGAGAAGCAACAGCAAGAGCTGCAGTTGGGGGAGGCTTTACACATCCAACTTAAAACTGACAACCAGGAGAGCGTTCAGCACACTGGTGGACAGAGTGGCTACATGCTTCAGCAGAGCAGACAAATATCAGAGCTGGTAAGAAAGAGAGAGGTGGAAGAAAGGTTAGAAAGAGGCAGCCATGACCTTGTGATTTGATCACAGTGACTGATGTGGCATCAAGGGCTGACTTGCCAAATTATTCCTTTATAAGTCTGGAATAATTTTTCTAAAACAGATGGATGCTCCCTATGGAACAGAAAACTGACTGGAAAAGAATAACTACATGGCAGAGGTCCTCAAACCTGTACAAGAAGCAGAGAGGCTGTCTGTCTTCAGTGGAAGGTGTTGGAAGTACAATGCTCTGTTAGTGTGTTAATTTGGGTTTGGAAGAAGTTAGAGAATGCAGCAAGAATGAAATTATGCTGGGAAATGCTAGGCAGAGGCTTCATCTCAAGAAAAGGCATGCAAATGCAAGGTGAAGAAGAGGAGAGGCAGAGAGAGGGGGCAGAGCGAGAGGGGGCATCAGCAGACACGTAGGTTACATTACCTTGATGGGCGCGCATTTCGGGAAGGGCCTTTTCTAAGACTGCTAATGCTTTTCTATGGTAATCTGCTTGGGCTTCTAATAACTGAGAACAGACCCACATTCAAAAACAAAAGTAACGTTAGCATTGGATGGACACAGACACAATGGTTGAGCAAAACTGAAAATGAACTCTTTCCAAAAGCTTAAATGATTCAATTTCTCTAATGTGTTAGCATTCAGTCAAGGGAAAGTACTTACCGTCACAAAGAATTTGCCGTACTCCCCTTCTTTGGCCATGAAGTTGTACATGTCTGCGGCGAGTTGATCCTGGGTAGAAGATGCATCACTAACATCAGTAAAGAAACTGGCACTTCACAACCTCTGGGATTTCTTAGATCAAAAGGATGTAAACACCCACCCCTGAAGGACTATGTTAATCAGGTTGAGGTGGGAAGACCCACCCTAAAAGTAGGCAGTACCATGTTTGGAGTTTGGGTCCTAGACTGTATAAAATGCTAGCTCACATTCATCATTCCCTGCTTCCTAACTGTGGAGGTGATGGAATCAGTGGCACTTGATGCCATGAGAGACTCCACCTTGAAGTGTGAGCCAGAATAAGCCCTTTCTCCTTAAGTTGCTTTTGTCAGAGGATTATATTTGCTGGTATACCTTTTAGAAAGCCAAAGCAGTGAGCATGATTTGGCATTTATTACCATTTGGGCTCTGGGTAACAAAAAGGAGGGAAAAGGTTATACTTCTATTGTCATATAAATATAAAAATATGTATGGCAAAAAAACCAAATGACTAGAAACAGTAGTTTTCTGTTAGCTGGGCAATCAGAAAGAGAAATGGTGGGGGTGACACTTTTTAATATATGAACTAATGTAAGTTAACCACTTAGGTAAAAATTGCTGTTATTCTTGTTATCTTGCAGCACTGGATTGACTCTCAGGCCTTGTACATTCTAGGTAAGCTCTCTATCAATAAGCCTGATTTCTACTTTTTATTTTGAGACAGAGTGTTACAAAAATTCTAGCTGGCCCTGAGTACTTTCTGTAGCACAGGCTGGCCCAGAACTTGTAATCTTTTTGTTGTAGTGTCTCAAGTAGCTGGGATTACAGGCTTATACCATCAGGACAGAAATTTAAGGACAGATTTGGCATTTGAATATGCATTCCTAATGTTTCTAAATATGTATCTATTGACATTTTACATACATATTGGAAACACATATATTAGAAAACTATACATATAGCTTGAGTAAGCTTTTTAATGTACTATCTTCTATTTTTTCCTGTTAAGGTGCACAAAGTAATATGAAGGCTTTCTTACTTGGAAAGGCACATTAAGAGCAACAAATATTCCTTTAGAATAAATAAGAAAGCAAGAAAGTAGATTTCCTGAGACCTCACCCTAACCCCCTCTTTCCTAGCCAGAAAGAGGAGGAAAGAAAAACAATGAACAGAACAGTCAAATGCTAAACACAAACTAAAGCTGGGGATAACCTCTGCTGCCCAACATGCTGGAATGTAACAGTCCTGTAAGCTCAAGGGTCAGAAAATCGTTAAGCATGGAGCCTAGTGAGTTAAGGAAGAACGATATATCTGTCATGTGTAATGACATGCATGTATATCTTATATATATATGTATATCATGTATATCTTTTCTTTTTTGAAACAAGGTCTCATTATGTAGCTTAGCTGTCCTGGAACTCATTAAATAGACCAGGCTAGCCTCAAACTCAAATATCTACCTACCTCTGCTTCTGTCTCCAGAGTGCTGGAATTAAAGGCATGTGCCACCAGTATTTCTAAAGAATTATATCCCAACAAAGGGGAAGATTACAGTAAGTTCTCTCAACAGCACATGGAGAGAACTGAGCAGTGTCTATGGACCAGGCTGAGTCCAGGAAAGAACAATGCCTATGTGACACTCACTCCCAGTTCCCAGGACCCTGGAGACAATGCCTTTCTCCACTGGTTAAGCAGTGTCACTTGAATATGATTTATTTTTTCATATTCTTTTTTTGTTTCTTTCTCTCTGAGTTAGAGTTCGTGTAACCCATGCTAGTCTCAAGCTTGTAGTCATGGATGACCTTGAACATCTGATCCTCCCACTTTGTGTGATTCTGAGACTGAACCCAGAGCTCTGTGCATGCCAGGCCAACATTCTACCTACTAAGCTAAATATGATCCTTTATAAACACAAAAACTATGGTGCAATTCTGTGAGGTATGTTTCATTTTTACCTACTACATTCAGTATTTAACAGTTTAGAGATCAGTAACTGTTCTCTCTCTCTCTCTCTCTCTCTCTCTCTCTCTCTCTCTCTCTTTTTCAAGACAGGGTAAACAGTCCTGTCTGTCCTGGAACTTACTCTGTAGACCAGGCTGGCCTTGAACTCACAAAGATCTACCTCTCTCTGTTTCCCAAGCGCTGGTATTAAAGACTACACCACCACTGCCCAGTAACGACTGCTATCTTAAGGGAGGGCCTGAACAGACCAAAATATAAGAGTCCCAACACAGTTTAGGAGGAAATGATCATTTTTGGAAAATTATGAACAACAGCAGGAAAAAAAGAAAACAAAGATCCCAGGAGTCACCAAAGATGAATTTCTTTAGTGCCTCTAAAAGCATTTGAATAAGTATCTATTTACACAGTTAGACCTGAGGAGAAAAATAACACTTAATAATCTAATCAGTATGGAATTTCTAAGAGTATTTTTGGAATTAATTTTTTTATAAAGAAATCTATTATTCTCCCAAATTATAAACCAATTGTTGTAGGAAACATTAAACAAAATCCTTCCTGCCTGGAATGGTGGCCCATGCCTTTAATCCTAGCATTTGGGAGTTGAAGCCAGTCTGATCTACATAGTGAGTTTTAGAACAGCCAGAGCTATATAGGGAGACCATCTCAAAACAAACAAATGAACAACAAGATCCTTCCTTTACTAAATATGAGCAATTTACCATAATAGATGTCATGTTTGTATCAGAAAACATATACCATTATACTAGTATACTATTATATGGCTGTTTTCATACTGTCATCTGTCATTTTAATTGTACTTCATATCATATTTAGTTTCTTTCCCTCTCTCAACTCATTATTTTAAATAAGCCCAGTCAAGTTTTTCTTGCATCTTAAAGATTTATTTTAGTTATACTTAGGTTATATAGGTGGATGTGCCGTGTATGGGTACGAACATTTGAGTGAAGGGCCTGCAGAGGCCAGAAGAGTGTACTGGATTCCGTAGAGAGTGGGTGGCAGGTGGAATATGAACCATCCAATGTGGGTCCTAGGAACTGAATTCAGGTCCTCTGCAGGAGCATATGCACTCTTTAACCACTGAGCATCTCTCCAAACCCCACTTGCATTTGTAAAAATGTATTTTTTGTTATAAAGTAATGTACAGTATTAGGAAATAAAAAAAACTAAACTGTGGTTGAGATGTAATGTTTGAGACAAGAACAAATAAAATAATAACAAAATAAAACTACCCTTCAAAATCATTCATAGTATTCTATATGAAGTAGGTAAAACACTGAAGAATTTAAACATTTTTACCCATTATTTACAGAAAACAACACAAAGCTGAAGGTCTACCCCAACAAGGGAATTCCCATACCTTGCACTGTTCAACTTTATTCCCAGCTTCGTCCATCTCTTCCTTTAGAGTGTCTATTTTGGATGGAAGCCCCTGAAAGTTGGTTCCTGAGGACTTGTGTGCTTGGTTCCACCTGCAAGACAGGAAGAGCCAGACTGAGAAGGAACTGCAAATCCAACGAGGAGAGAGGTCCTGGAGATACTCTTCCCCCAGCCTGACTTCCCTGAGATGGAAGCTGGCTCCAGAAGGCTTTTTTCTTTCTTATGTCTGGCCTCCAGAACAGAAGCAAACAGGTACTTGCTTCTCCACAGGGTGTGGCATAACCAAGCACACCCTGTGTCACACAGCACCCTGTCTCAAAACATCAAAAACAAAACAAGGAGCAGGCAATAGGCACGAGCATGTACCACAGATGCTCACTGCATTAGATTCCATTTTCCTTCAGGGAGAGCAGAGGCACAGGAACAAGTAAAGGCAAACAAGGAATACTCATCCACTGCAGTTTCTCCAATATGCACTTGAGTTAACTAAGTGAGTATGAATGTGGACGTAAGAATCAGTGTTGATATCCTCGGGCATATGTGCTTGAGATGTTGATTCCCTGACAGATAAACCTCAATGGTTTGCTTAGCCAAGCATAGTGACGGACACACACAACCTCACTTAATTAAGTAGCAGACATTCTTGCTCCTGAGCAAAAATGTATGGAGGGGGCAAGTTCCCTGGTGTCTCTGTCATGCCCGGGTTCTAGATACACATGTATGCATGACAAGGACACAGCAGAACTCTCCTTCAGAGTACTAGACCTGCCACCTGCTATCTCTAGGGCATGGAGTAAATCATACAGACAGCATGTGCTAGTCCCAGTCTGTCTGTGAAACAGTCCACTTTACAGAAACAGAGGGTGTTTGTACCAGTCCCATCCTGGCCTTTCCAGCTAGTTACAAGGGGCCTCTGCACTAAGTGGGAAGCAAGCAGTATCTGCTGAAAATAGAGAGGAGGAAATAGAGCAGGGAATCAAATCAGGAACATGTAGACTGATACCTGGCATGTGGTGAGTGACAGTCTAACTTGACAACTACACCTCCTATTATTTCTTAGACCAGAAACACTGAATCCCTGATTGATGACATTTTTTCTCCTTCACCCACACCCCCTTAGTGGGTCCTGACTTGTAGATGCCTCGGAGATGTCTAAGAAACAAAGAAAAGCAGCACAGCCAAGACCCCAGAGCAGGAGCTGCTCCCCAAGGCACTGCTGGCACTGCTGGGAGCTGTGTTCTTGGAAGTGTCAGCTCCCAACCCTCTTCCTATTAATACACTTAGCTGAGGATGCTCTAACAACATCCCCACTGCCTTGCTTGGAAGAGGCTTAAAGGAGTATGTGCAGGCTGTGATCTGGCCAGTGACTGAGGTGTCTGTCTGACTCTGATAGGCTTGACTGCTGATCACAGGACAGAACTCTGCTACATTCATTCCTAATCTCACAGTGTCACCTTACCTCGCTCTGACTGAATCCCAGTCCAACACCAGTTTAGCAAGCTGTTTCCTTTGCTTTTGGATGTTGGGAATCTCAACCTGGAAGAAAGAACAGACCACAAAGATACACCTGGAAATTTTAGCTCAGTTCTTCAAAGAGCAATAACCTCTTTACAAAGGTTTTTTTTTTTGGGGGGGGGGAGACAAAAAAAACAAAAAAAAAAAAACCACAAACTTCCCTTACCTCCCCCAAAGAGTTCTACATTAATGCTGCTGACTATTTAAATTTTAGGCCCACACTAACCATTTACTATCTGATCCCTGCCAGGCCAGGCAGCACAAGAACCCACCTCTGCTATGCCGTAGAGAGGGTCCACTATCTCCTTCTCGACTAAGGCTTCGTACTGTGAGAGCTCAAGGGCCAGTTGATTCTCAGCATCCCCACAGGTCTCCAGCATCTTCCTTTAGGGACAAGATACCAAAAAAAATAAGCACTCAGTAAACCAGGTACCAAGCTGTTATGTGGCTGCACTCAAACACAGCACAGCACTACCCAGCAAAGTCTGTAGTATGTATGCATGTGGACTATCACCTAATACAAGTCCAGATTTGTGCTTTAGAATAAAATGAACTGAGACTTAAGGGTAGCTCACTGATGTGGTCCTTGTCTAGAGTATATGAGGTCCTAGATTCCAACCTGAGAACAGGAGGCTGAAGGGAGAGAGGGAAGGACTATCTCTGCCATGTACTTAATGTGTAGGGAGATAAAGTATGAACAGTGAAGTCACACCTCAAAGAAGAACTAGGTTCTCAACTCAGGTGAAACAAGTGTCCTCAAAATACCCTGAAAAGATTTTAGCACGTGTAAAAGGTCACTCACTGCATGTGGTTCTATGTCTGTTATTGAGTCTAGCCTTAGCAATGCTTCCTCTAGAGTTAACACCAAAAGTGGATCTCCAGCTTACCAAGTATAGATGTGTGGGTTCCACCCTAACATCACACAAAAACAAGGTTCTCAACTACAGAAGTGGCTGACTAACATGGGCCAAGAACATGGTGCTACTCCAACACCACACTTCCTTTTTGTTTGCCTTACATACACAGCTGAGATAACCCCCAATACATGTACAAATGTGTAATTCCACTGGCTCAGGCTTCTCTCTGGCCCTTCTTCTGCACCATGCCCCTACATCTCTCTGTGGAGCTCTTTTGGCAACAGAAAGGGTGTGGTGTGGTGAGAGGTGGCTGTGGTAACACAGCCAAGCTGAAGAGTTTGAATACAGGCTTTGTACTCTGCAGCTGTGTGGTCTCAGGCAGTCTCCCTATCCTTTCTCTTGCCAGAGTCCCTCATCTGTAAAATGGAAGCATTAGTAGTGCCTACTTTCTAGGCTGTTTTGAAGGCTAAGTGAACTAACGTCTGAAGAGAATTCAACACTGGGCTTGAACACAGCATTACTGCTATGAGGAAAATGACATTAGTACAAGGAAGCAAAGATAGAAACCTGTACAGGTTTTAATTTCAAAAGACTTTCGAAGACTTAAACTGTTCTAAACATACACACGCGCACGCACACACACGTGATGATAAGCAATCCAATCAGATATAATCATTATCCATCATGCCACCACAGACCCATAAATATTACAATTATATATGTGTCAATTAAAAATAAAAACATATTTAAAAAGAAAATAAATTAAGCATAACATTTTGAAGCTCAAACAACCACCACAGAAGCCACATAATTCAGGAAATGAATTCTTTTGAGACCACTACCTTTTGTCATGGTCATACTTAAAAGTAAGCGACTCTGAAGGACTGAGAAGGATGTGTCAGTGCTAACTCTGAGCCTACACTGGCATGTGCAAGTGCACAAGTTCAAGTGCAAGCATGGGGGAAGACACTGACTCCTTGTGTGTGGCTCCTTTTCCACCCAATTCCACCTAAGCTCCTAATAGAGAAAGACACCCCCAGCACCCAGCCCTGGGTTCTATCCCCAAGGTCTAAGCTGCTCCCCCAATGGAAAAGCCCCCTCTGTTGTGTGCACAATTCCTATGGGGCTGCCAGACACAACAGCTGCCAACCTCCCCCAGGCTCTGGGCCAAGGGCTCTCCAGAAGCACCACTCTTACCCCAGGAGAGACTCTTCTAGCTGGGCTGAAGCCTCCTGCATGTTCTGGGCAAGTGCTGTCAGAGGAAGCTTTTTCTGGAAGGCAAAGACAAGGTGGGTTTTTATCTGTTGTTTCACAGCCAGTCTCACTGGTCTTCTTCAGGTCACTCAGAGTAGCCCTGCCCACCAGGAAACCTGTCAGAGCTATCCCTGTCGATCAGTCTGCGGTTGCCCTTGAACTAAATTAATTCAGGTGCCTGGAATACAGGGTGTGTTCAGCACATGGAGTGTGCCTCCCACATGGGGCATGTCCAGCACCTGGGGTGTGCTCAGTACAAGGGGGGTGCCCCCACATGGGGTGTGCTCACCAGGGGCTCAGCAGCTGCTACTGTTGCTGATGCTAATACTAATTAATCGGGTACATAGAGACTGAGTATCACTTACCTGAAATCTTGGGCCCACATGTGTTTTGAGTTTTAGACTTTGGAATATGGGCACTGCCTTTACTGGTTGAACATTCCTAACTTGAAGATCTAAAATGTGAAATGGTCCAAAGTCTGTACTCAAAAAGATTTTGATTTCAGAGCATTTTGGACTTCAGATTTTTTTTTAAATTAAAATTACTAAAAAAAAAAAAAAAAATTCATTTTGTGGGAAGGTACCCCTGCACTAATGTCAATGTGGAAGTCAGAGGACAAGTGTGGGAGTCAGTTCTCTCCTTCTACCCTGTAGGCTTCTGGAATTGAACCCAGGTCATCAAGCATGACAGCAAGCACCTTTACCAGCTGAGCCATCTTGTCAGCTCTTATTTGTTTTTGAGACAGGGTCTGTTGCATCCTGAGCTGGCCTTGAACTCACTATATAGCCATGGATGACTTTGAACTTTTTTTTTTAAAGATTTTATTTATTTATTATGTATACATCATTCTGCTTCCATGTATATCTGCACACCAGAAGAGGGCACCAGATCTCCTAACGGATGGTAGGAACCGCTGGGAATTGAACTCAGGACCTCTAGAAGAGCAGTCGGTGCTCTTAACCTCTGAGCCATCTCTCCAGCCCCACTTTGAACTTTTGATCTCTCTGTCTCCACATTCCAGAGTGCTAGAATTACAGGCAAGTACTGCCATACTCAGTCTATGTGGTGCTGGGGACTGAAACCAGGGCTTCGTGGATGCCAGGCCAACACTCTACCAGCTGAGGTAGGCCTCAGCCCCTAGATTCCAGAGTTTCAGATTGTGCTCTATGAATAGACCTTGCTCTCTAAATATCATCACAAGTAAATGTAATAAATGCTCAACTGCAAAACTTAGGCTAGAACATTCTTAATCTGGGTCTTCATTTGGCTATAATCCTAAAGTCCAGCTTTAAATATTTAAAAATATCTGAACAACTTTTGTGGTGTTTCTAAGCATAGAACCAATCATTTTCCTATCAGAGATCTGTTCTTTATCAGCAACAGGATCATCTGACCAGGGAACTCAGACCCAGAGGTGAAGTGGCTAGCCTGGAGCTCACAGAGGGTGGATGTGCAGAGACCCAGTTAGTGTTTATATGCCACTGGCTAGCACTATCTTGGAGTACATATAGAAGAGGCCTGGAAAGTAACAGAGAGGCTGCTTCTAACAACATGGGGCTTGCAACATGATGCTCTCATTCTGCAAAGCCATGTCATTCTGTCTTTCCTGTGAAAAGGACACTTATGCCAGACACTGTCTGTTGCCTGCTTTCCTGAACACACTGGCTTGTGCCATTTGGGAGTACTTCTAGACAGCTACCCATAAAAGTATCTATAGTGGTGGCTTTGGAGGAGGGAGACGGGTGCAGGGGAGCAGGACTGAAACAAACTTCACTCATGTTCTTTTGTGCATTCTGAACTGAAGTTTATCTGTGTAGTTGGAGAGATGTCTCAGCAGTTAAAAGCACTGGCTGTTCTTCTGGAGGACTTGGGTTTGATTCCTAGCAACCACAAAGAGACCACTACCGGCTGCCATGCTCTCAGAACAGAAAGATCTAAGCATAACTGAGGATAATTCATGGTTTGGGTGAGTTCCTTTCAAAAAGAGATGAAATGTAAGATAAGTGTAGTAATCAAAAGAGGCAGACTTGTACAATTCTAGAACTCCATGGTCTGTGGAGGGGGAAAAAAAAAATCACAAAGAACTTATAAAATAAGTGTCATTCATGATCCCAACTCTACAGCCATAATCCTGTTTCCTAGAATACATCAACAAGGACATTCGTCTTATTAATCAAAGTATCTATCCACAATGAAACTCCACAGAGCAGATCAGGTTTCCTAGGGGTAAACAGTTCTTCTGTCATCAGAGAGGAACTGAGAAGCTCTCCACTGGTGACGTATGTGCCAACTACACAGAAAGGCTCCCTTTAGCAGCTCTGCTATGTCCATGGAGGTTCCCAGAGCTGTGAAAGCTGCTCTCCACTTTCTCTTCCCAAGTGGTGGAGCTATTGTTGCACCCTTGGGAACTCTGTTTCCTGGAGCCCCTCTCCATGGCATATGCTCTCCCGAGGACTCCTATTTTTTTCTCACCACTGTCATGGCAACTCTTCTTGACTCTCCTCGGAGCCTTTTCTTTGGCACATTTGCTTGCAGTTGTAAATAAAACAAAACAAAACAAAAAAACCTGAGGTATCAGACATCTCAGAAATTAGGATGAAGCTCCTTGCTCCTACTGCTGGCATGTTCCTACCACCACCAATAACTCTCCTCTCTACAGCCCAGGTACCTAGCCCTCCAAGAAGCCCACCTAACTACTTCTTTTGTTATCTGTTCTCAGCCTTCCCATAGCATCCTACGTACATTTTATTCACTCTGTTGTTTTACAATTACTCAGTGGTGGCACCCATTACCCAACTGGGCCATGAGTACATTTATCCATTTTGTATTTCTAGCACTCAAACACAGTAGGTATTTGGTAAAAATTCAGTTTGCTTTTAATGAATAGGTGTGATGGTTGGGCAGACAACAGAAAAAGATAGGGCGTGGCTGTGTAAAGGACATTGTTTTATGTAGGGACTGATAGGTATTAAGTGGCTGGACTGCAGTGAGAATGAGAGGAAGCAAGGCACAAAGGAGCTGCTGAGGCAAAATGGGATTAGAATACAAAGTGCTTAAGTCATGCCAAATAGTGTGGACTGTATTCTTGGCAATGGTAACCAGCAGAGCCCCTTACGAGGTCCCACTAGATTTTTGGGCACCTCCTTGTGTCCAAGTATGCTACCAGCACCACAGAATACTCACCATCTTCCCACCTTGGCAACTAACTCTGATAGACTGACTAGAAAGGATGAAAACTGGAGGCAGGAAAGATGGTTCAGAAGGGAACCGGGATGACAGCCCACACAGGTCAGGTATTCACGATAACCAGGTCTCACCTTAAGGAGCAGGAAGGGATGAGGCAGGGATGAGGAATTTTAAAGATATCCACAACGAGAATCACAGGGTTGACTAGCAAGGCAGCTACAGGAGGGCGGAGATAAGGATGGAAGGTCAGCGGAGCAGAAGCCAGGCTAGAAGAGGAGCAGTGGGAACAGAACCAATGACTCAGTCTGTCTCTGAGAGGAAGACCAAAGCAAGCATCCAGGACCCATAGACGTATGCAAATGTCCACTCGATTTACACAACTGCAGAATCCTAACTATTGCGCAAGGTGGGGGAAACCTTGTGGTCAGGTGCCCTGGAAGTAACTGTGGGAAACAAAATTAGGGTGACACAGATATTTGCAGACCAGCTCTTCCTTCTGTGATGTCTGGTGATTCACAAAACAGTAAACAGCTAGCTTCCTGGTGTACCACTGAAGTGTCATTTTAATGTGGCTCTGAGATGCATCTAATACTCACATGTCTCCTCTCAACATCGGTGCCATGCTGACCCTGGAAGCATGCTATCAAGCGCTTATGCGAATGGTGGCACATTGACCGCACAGTGTCCAGACGCCGTTCAATCTGTCAAAGAAGAGACAAAAGAGCCATTTAAATGTCTTAAGGAGAATTCAGCTTCTTCCATGTATAGTGTGTACATGGAGGTAGAAAAAGCAAGCTGCAGTGAAACTTCAGAGCTCTTGGGTGTTGACAGACAGCTCCTATTCACTCATACCATGGTTTTTGCTACTGACATTTGATAGTCCTGGGTTGCAGGAGGCTGTTGTGTACACTGCAGTGTGTTCAGCAGCATCTCTGGCCTCTACTTAATAGATGCAAGGAGCACTCCACTTCTCAAGATGTCAATATCTCCAGGAAAGCACAGAGCTGGCTTCCTTGTGCTGAAATGTTCTAGACCCCTCCAAAGCTGAATCTGTTCAGGCTAAGGGACAATTATGACTATGTCTATGAGGCCAAACAGTGACAGTCTATGGGCTAGAAGACCATCAAAGCTCTGGTTCAATCAAACAAACTCCTACCTACAGCCACGTGGGAAAAGTCAACAGGGACATCAGAAGCACAGGCAATGGGGTCTTCTCCACAGGGCAGCAGACACAAAATCCAAGTAGCACAACCGAAACAAGATCAGTATCAAAAACCTTCCATATTAGGTTTCAGGTAGGTTTTGGTTTCTGTTTTAAAAAGGCCCCCACAGCAGAATGGACACCCAGCAGTAGGAAATACTGACCCAGGGACCCACACATCTTGAATAAACTCCCCAAATCAGACTGCTGGGATATTGCTGTTTATGGCAAAGAGGGCTGCTTGTTACAGGAAGGAATGCCAAAAATGTGTGTTCTGATGACTCATGAAGAGTGAGAGCAAGCCTCAGGGACACTTTCTATTCTAATGAAAAGTCAGCAAATTCAAAGCAGAATAAATACATTTTGACCCCTAGTTGCTTTGTGCCTGTTTCTCAAAGGTACCTGGATACAAGCATCTCCTCAGATCCAAGCCCCAGTCATCAAGATAAGCTGACATTCAGGAGCATGTGCCACAGCAACTCCCCATCTACAGTGGCCACAGTTCAGAGCATCAGGAAACTACTAGACTCCATTTGCCACAAGAGCAAATGAACAATTGGAATCCTGAAACTTTTTACCAACATTCCAACTCCATGAGGACAGTAACCCTGTCTGTTTTGTTCACTATCTCCCCCAAGTGCCTGGTCCAGTAGCTGCCAGAGGATCAGAAGGTCTCTACTTTTGACTATGGTGGACAAGTACCTAGTACTCTCCTGTGCCTGGTATTAAAAAAGCAACAAGGAATACAAACCGGTCTTTGCCCACTGGGATGCACAGCCTCCTGGGGCAACAGCATGCTACTAAAATAAAAGGCAGCTCTGGCAGAAAGAGATGGGGAAGAAGGCAGTGTTATCTCAGAGGCAGGCTAGCAACACATACCTGGTGGCCTGGAGTAGCGAACAGAGAAAAATCAAATCCCTCTCTCAGGCTCCACTGTCAGGACTCCCCACCATTTGGTTCACTATCTCATTAGTCCTCCCATTGGGGGACTAACTCAACCCTCCACAGTTTGTGGCAGACCCGGTGGTAGAGTTAGCACTGGGAACCATTGTTTTTTTCTCCTTCAAGTTAAAAACAGCAGAAAAGAGAGAGGCAAAACATCTGGAGCAGTTATGATAAACAGCAAAGAAGAGTCTGTTATCAAATCAGGGTGTCCCAGAGGGGGAAAAGCTTTCACACCCCAGAGACAATAATGGACAGCTACCCTGAGTGCCATCAGGCCTTGGCTTTCCTCCAACTACAAGGGCCTGATCTCAGAACTTCAAGGATTAAATGAGATAGTATATTACTGGGGCAGGATGGCATGAAAACCTAGCTAAAACTTGGCTGACACAAACAGTACTCCAAGAAGTCAGAAAATGAATTTAAAATACATGCTCCAAACTAAGAAATGTCAAGAATGTAATTTATCAATTCTTTTTTTGTTTATTGACAAGGTCTGACTATATAGCAGAGGCTGGTCTTGAACTTAGAATCTCCCTGCCTTTAGAAAAAAAAAAGAGAGAGAGAGAGAGAGCTTTTAAAATGTATCAAGCTAGAGCACCAGGCTGAGACTGCTCTAGGTTCAATCCCCAGCACCAAAACCCACATCAAGTGGCCCTCCACATTTAAGGATTTTAATATCCATACTTAGCCAACCACAGATCAAAAAAATTCAAAGAAAAACTTTTAAGATCATGTGTGCACTTTTCTTTGCTGTTCTCTAAACAACACAGCACAAGAACTATGCACACTGTTGAGTAACCGAGAAGGGATTTAAAGTACAGATGGGGCTCAATGGCACAGCATCTGCCTACTACAAGTGAATACATAAAAAAGGATGCTACAAAGAATGTGTACAAGCTAAATTCAAACACTGCATTGTTCTGCATGAAGACATCTAGAATTAATCTGTCCATGGAAACCAAAATGAGTATATTCTACCTGCAGGTGGCTGACACAATTTGAGATGCTTGGCGGACTGTGACGGAAACCCTTCTCTGACTTATACCAGCTTCTTTTCTCTACAGGAGGGAATAGATGGTCCCTCGAGGCCAGACTTGGTCTTTAGAGTCTCACATGAGTAGACAGACTGCTGTGTAAGCTAAGGAAGCACAAGGCAAGTAGGCAGGACAAGTAGCTTAACAAAGACTCCATGCAGCCAAGGCTCTCCCTCCCTGAGCCTTCTGTCGTGGGTGGAGCTGTGAGCAGAGATGAAACACAGAAAGCCCCAGTGTCTTCTCCAAGACCAAAGTCAGGGAATAGAGTGGCCCTGGCCAGTCTCCTGGCAGGAAAAGGAGGGCAGGTCTGAGCTGACAACACAAAGAGTCCCAGACCTCTAGCTGGTTATGCTGGATCTGGCCATATCAATATAAGACTAAGCTCCCCCATTCCACATAGAGGAATACTCCCTGAGCGAAGACAAATGGGGGTGGGCCTAGGCCCTATCCCAAAGGATGCAATAGACTCTGATGAGACCTTATGGAAGGACTTCCAGGGGGAGCAAAAAGGATATGTGATAGGTAGGGTTTTAGTTGGGGGGTAGTGGTAGGGGAGGAGGGGAGGGAGAGGGAACTGGGATTGTCATGTAAAACAATCTTGCTTCTAATTCAAATTAAAAAAATC